ATTGCTCGACATTAAGGGAATGTTGACGTCATCCATCTTATCATACAGTCTTGTCGAGAGTGTTTCGTCACTCTGAATCTTTATGCATAGATCTAAACTGAAACAGATGAGGCGGTCTCACTGGTCTCCTTTATTTCTAGTTCAGGTAGGTAAATCAGTGGAAGTGGATGGGATATTTGATAGTTATTGGACGATATCAGATCATCGGTATACCTGAAGCGTAGGTAAAACGTCTTGTTTTGACTTTGCCAATCCGAACAGTAATTCCGATTCATATGCATAAAGAAACAGATCCGCAAGAATGGGGGCACAATTGATGCCCATGGGGATGCCTACTTCTTGCCTAAATGTTTTACCCCCAAATTGTAAGTACACGTTATCAATGAGAAAGTCACGCATTTCACATATTGATTTCTCAGTGAACGTCAGATGGCATTTGGTTTCATTTTTCACAAATTGTCCCAAACCTCTGAATATAGATGGGCGTTTTTTAACAAAAGCCCCATGAATCAAGGAATGAAATTCTTCCTTAAGTTTGTCATGTGAGATAGTGGTGTACAAAGTTGAAAAATGAAATGTTTTGACAGAATGGTGCTTGGTTCTTTCCTGAGATTGCAAAAAGTCAAGCAAATCCTTTGAGATTTGGAGAATCGGCATGGTATTAATTCCACTTATCTCAAATACTTTCTGTGAATATAACGAAGGTCCTTGCTTGATTGTATTAAGGATTATGGTAAATCTTTGAGAAAGAGGTTTGTAGGTACATGTGCTGAACCCAGCAATATGCCTCTCCTTGTACGGATGTTTATGGAGCTTTGGAATCCAGCACAAAAGAGGAATGGACGGACATGTCTTCAGGTTTTAAAGTAAAGTCAAAAGTTGACATTACTGATTTGTGGTTTTGACCGATTTCTTTTATCATTTATACCAAGTTCTTTGCTCAGACAATTAATTAGTGATGCTTACATATAATGGTTTTGTTATTTCAGGCCTTGTCAGTGGGAACAACCACAAACTTTTCATGTAGGAAAGCCAGACTTTGGATGACATCTGGCTGGGACAGAATGGGTTTATTCCAATTCCGATTCCTCTTTTTAAGTTTGAGCATTCTACCAATGACAACATCACTCACTGATTTAACCCACCCTGAAAGACATTCAGCAGGTTCCTCTTCTATTTTGGCCCACTTTTTGGCATATTCTTCTACAACATCAATAATGATTTTAAACTTGTGATCCCAATTGGTAGGAGGTTGCATATGGTATTTTGGTCCATATTTGAATAACTGACGAAGGTTGTCAACCTGTGATTATATGACCTGCAGGTTGAAAGCAGTATGATGAGTCTTAGCGGCCACTAGTAGTGGAAAATACCTCATGAGCTGCCAACTCCACGTTCTGCAACACGTTCCTATAATTGAACAACCCGGATGAAATTGTGTTCGTATGGGAAAATGAAATCGTTGGGTGTATCTGAAATTTGAAATATAGTTGGACATTTTGTGAAACTGATCTTTGACTGAGAATGTTACTTAAATTAATTCCCCTGTTTGCAAATTTTAATAAATGGATCAAATAAGCCCAGTGAGCGCTGACAAAGATCGCTGATTAATTACATCAGATCAAATATCAGTGACTTGGCTAAGCAACTGTATTACAGTAATATAACGAGAGTAGCTGGAACAGCACTATGATAAGATAGACAGGATGCACAGGGAGTCAGTAAGGTCGGCTGCGACCAATTAACGCCTGACTTAATTAACTACACACTCTAATGGGCCGAGTTGAATAACAGGAAATCGGTAAATAAACACAGAGCGCTTATCGCTAAAATAAGTCACGAGACTTCTTGACGTGAACATCTGAATATCAGGTCTAACAGACTGAAAATTTTGACTTTGACTAAGCAGGGAAATACTAACATTTCCCAAAAGCTAGACAATCACGGGAACGTTAGCCAAAGTGTTTTTATTGGTTGGTTGGTTGGTTGGTTGGTTTGTTGTTTAACGCCGCACTCAGCAATATTACACATCCGGGTCAGAATAGGTCTTCAGCAACCCATGCTTGCCGTAAAAGGCGACTATGCGTGTTGCAAGAGGCGACTAACGGGATTGGGTGGTCAGGCTTGCTGACTTGGTTGATGCATGTCATCGTACCCCAATTGCGAAGATCGATGCTCATGATGTCAATCATTGGATTGGCGGGTCCAGACTCGATTTTTTACATACACCGTCATTTAGCTGGAATATTGTTAAGTGCGGCGTTAAACGACAAACAAACAAACAAACGATATTCGAGTCAATGCAGTGACGGCCATGTGTGCACATAAACTCATGGGAAAAAGAAGGCATACACTTTAAAATTGATTTATTTTTCTCAAAAACTATCAAAGAGAGCAAAATGGTATAACGCTTAAAACAGTCGCCCAAACAGCCGCCGAGAGCTGGAATCTGATTGGTCCATAGGAGAGACTTAGAAGGGACATAACTGGTAATAACCACTGGTGGCGCTACGATCGAGCCCAGTAATTCCAGCCTAGTTCGGCAAGGGTGGAAACTGGACTTTTAAAGTCAGTTAACTCTCTTGCCTCGGGAAGATGGAGTATACCGTCGCAGGTGGGAACGTTTAGTGCCAGGCTGCATACAAGAAGTTCATCCCGATGGTGGAGCGGTGTGATGGTTTGGGATGGAATTTGTGGCAACCAACGTACGAGACTTGTCATCACCCGTGGCAACCTCAACGGCCAGCGATACAGAGATGATGTTCTTCAACCCGTGGTGCTTCCATTCCTTCACCAACAGCAACAGGGAACACTCCTGCAGCATGACAACGCTAGACCACACACTGCAAGGCTCGTCCATGACTTCTTGAATACGAACAACGTCAATGTTCTTACGTGGCTAGCACTCTCGACTGACTTGAACCCAATGGAACTCTTGTGAGATCATCTGAAGCGTCAGATCCGATGACGTCCACACCCACCAGCAAACCAGCAACAGCTTGCCGACACTGTTAGGACTGAATGGAATCGCATTCGCGATTACGTCATCAGGCGGCTGACAACATCAATGAGGCCGCGAGTCTGGGTCTGCATTGGTGCTCACGGTGGTCATACTCGTGACTGAGCGTACCAGATACCATGTATCCGTTGAAGACCACAAAATTATCCAGACAGCACCTGGTTGACTCTGATCATTCCTCTGAACTGTGATCTGCCTACCCTCATGTTCATGTAAACGTCATGAACACGTCACCTGTTTTGAGTTTCGCACTAAAATTGTGCATTGACTATCGCATGTGACCCTGTTAGCGAATATACCATCATTGAGTAACATTCTCTTGTTTGTTTTCATTTTACAATTCGCTGTGCGTCCCTTGGGCACGCCAGAAACCTATGATTGTGGGTTCGAATCCCGGTTCGCCCCGATTATGTTTCTAGGTTTGTCAGCACAATACCCGTGCTCGTGGGTTTCACCAAAGTAGTAAACGTCTGAGACCTGCATCACTTCGGGCTTTCCTCCCACATTAAGCTGACACGCCGTGATATAACTGGAATAATGTTAAAAGCGGCGTTAAACCCAACTCACTCACTCACTCATTTTACAAACATTGGTGTATACTTTCTTTTGCCATCTAGTTTACAAAGAGTGAGTGAGTGAGTATGGTTTTACGCCGCTTTTAGTAATATTCCAGCAATATCACGGCGGGGAACACCAGAAATGGGCTTCACATACTGTACCCATGTCGGGAATCGAACCCGGGTCTTCGGCGTGACGAGCGAACGCTTTAACCACTGGGTTACCCGACCGCCCAGTTTACAAAGAATAGTGAGACCTGTGAAGATCCGGGGTAGAATAGGTCTTCACCAACCCATGCTTGCCGTAAATGGCGACTATGCTTGTCGAAAAAGGCGACTAACGGGATCGGGTGGTCAGGCTCGCTGACTTGGTTGATGCATGTCATCGATCCCAATTGCATGGATCGATGCTCATGATGTCAATCACTGGGTTGCCTGGTCCAGTCTCGATTATTTACAGACCGCCGTCACACAGCTGGAATATTGCTGAGTGTGGCGTTAACAACAAACAAACAACAGTGAGATAATAATATCGTCTCTCCTTCACAACCAGGACGCAGTCATACCACAGACTTGTATATAGGTAAGAAATATCGTGTGTTCTTAAAAATGCAAAACCATATACGCCAATACATCACTTATTATTCATACATTGCATATTAAAGGAAGCCATCGAGTCATACTCAAGGCTGGAAGCCCCGAAGTAACACGTGACCTAAAACCCGTCACAGTGGAATGCCCTTTCTACACGTAGATGATACCAGTGACTTATATGTGAGGAAAGAGTGCATGAACTATTTCTAAAACTGATGGTCTAAAATACATCGCGATTGATTTATTGATTGATTGATTTAATTATATTTTTCTTTATTTTTTTATTTATTCTACAAATGATCTAAAAAAATATTTTTTATTTATTTATTGCTTTTATAAATTTACTGAAAAAGCTGTCTTTTTAGTTGACAGATTGACTAAGAAAATGGAGTTCAAAAGGGCCCCAAAACATGTAAAAGTGACTAATTATGCTAGGTTTAGGGGCCAAAAATATAACATATATATATATATATATATATATATATATATATATTAACGTCTTTTTTAAATTTTAATTCCATCATTTTTCAGTCACTGGGTGATGCAACTGAACATCAAAATGTTTTATATTCGTTATCATAACGCAATCAATAGATGGACATATTTTTCAGTCAATTTTTATAACGACTAAAATATCTAGGCGTTTTGTAAATGAGCCATGCAAAACTGTCAGTCATATTCCACACTGACTGTAACACATACAATTTAAAGGGTAATATAGGTGAAAATGGTGACGCTCGCCTGCCTGAAGGGATAAACAAATGAACAGCGGTCACCTTCTCAAGGATCGTCGATGCACCGATAATGTTAGCAAACTCTATATCAGCGCTTGCTACTTTCGGAGTTATCATGGTCACATGTAAGGGGAACTAACTAATGCTGCGGGGAGCTTGTAGGCGGTTGTGACACACGACTGAGCTATTCTGCATTGTCACTCGTCCGCCAGGAGATAGATAGACAGGGCCTATCGGTACACACACTTGACATGTAAGTATTAGCCTAGCTACAACGGTACAAATGAACGGTACATCACCCTCGCTCACTGGCAGTGTATTTCAGTTCTGTTTAGAACCAGTGAGAGTATATAAACGCCAGTAAAATCACAAACATAGCATCAGTGGTAGAATATTAGCCTGAGATTATTCTGGCACGTGTTGGGGTGTTGGTTCTTTAGGCCCTAGTTGTTGTTTTGTTTGTTTACGCCGCACTCAGCAACATTCCATGTATATGACGGCGGTCTGTACATAATCGAGTCTGGACTAGACAATGCAGTGATTGACATGAGCATCGATCCGCGCAATTGTGACACGATGACATGCATCAACCAAGTCAAGCCTGACCACCCGATCCAGTTAATCGGACTACCGTGAGTGGGTCACTGGGGGGGGGGGGGGGGGGGGGGGGGGGTTATATTTAGAGGGAGATAACTCTGTGTTACACAGAAAGTATGACCACTAATATTTGTCTGAGCAGGTGCTATAACATCATAGACAGAGTTTAGAAAAAGAAGATTTTAATAATGTTTAGTATACTTACTAGTAAAACTAGAGATTTTTCACAAGACATGACAAATTTAGCTCAAGGCAACACTGAACTAATAACGATTTTCATCAAATTTTTCCCAAATGTGAGACAAGTCATTTTATTTTTTATTTACTTGTATTAAAGATTTACATTAACTGCTATGGATGTTGTTTTAATGTTTGACACATCATAAACAAGAAAAAGGTTGTAAAATTGAGTGACCTCGTTTTACTCTCATGGTCTTGGAATACATAATCCCAGTTCTTTTTACGTCAAAATATTGGATCACTTACCATATTTAACATCTTTTGGTCTCAACACTGTTGAGCATTAGTCACCTCTTACGACAAGCATAGTCGCCTTTTACAGCAAGCATGGGTTGCTGAAGTCCTATTCTATCCCGGATATTCACGGATCACACTGATTGTGAATCTCTCTCTCTCTAGTCTCATCATGGCTGACAACAGTGTCCGTGACTCTGTGAAGGAGTATTATGGGAAGACCCTGCAAAAAACCGATGACCTCAAGACAGGAGCCTGTATGACCCCAGCCAAGCTGATGACAAAACCCATGAGAGCTGCCCTCAGTGCAGTGCATGATGAAGTGGCCATGAAGTAAGTCTAGGTGTGTTACGAGGCCCCCAGTGCAGTGCATGATGAAGTGGCCATGAAGTAAGTCTTGGTGTGTTACGAGGCCCCCAGTGCAGTGCATGATGAAGTGGCCATGAAGTTAGTCTTGGTGTGTTACGAGGCCCCCAGTGCAGTGCATGATGAAGTGGCCATGAAGTAAGTCTTGGTGTGTTACGAGGCCTTTAGTGCAGTGCATGATGAAGTGGCCATGAAGCAAGTCTAGGTGTGTTACGAGGTCCTCAGTGCAGTGCATGATGAAGTGGCCATGAAGTAAGTCTAGGTGTGTAACGTGGCCCTCAGTGCAGTGCATGGTGAAGTGGCCATGAAGTAAGTCTAGGTGTGTTATGAGGCCCTCAGTGCAGTGCATGATGAAGTGGCCATGAAGTAAGTCTAGGTGTGTAACGTGGCCCTCAGTGCAGTGCATGGTGAAGTGGCCATGAAGTAAGTCTAGGTGTGTTACGAGGCCCCCAGTGCAGTGCATGATGAAGTGGCCATGAAGTAAGTCTAGGTGTGATACGAGGCCCCCAGTGCAGTGCATGATGTAGTGGCCATGAAGTAAGTCTAGGTGTGTTACGCGGCCCTCAGTGCAGTGCATGGTGAATTGGTGTGTTACGAGGCCCCCAGTGAAGTGCATGATGAAGTGGCCATGAAGTAAGTCTAGATGTGTTACGAGTAAGGGTGCGAGGTACTACCGTCATATAGGTAAATTGAGGTTCATTCTTTCCACGATATATATCACAATATAATGTTTTCATGCTCGATATATCGGGTGTTTCAAATAGGGATTTTCAACATGTGTTTAACATGCTTATTTATTGAATGTGTAAACATTATGTGGTACCACCATCTTGTTTTGTTCCATTCATATACCTTAATGTATCAGATTGCTTCTGAATCAAAAATTTAGAATTATACAATATATCGTGTTACATATCGCAATACGACCTTGTGCATTGCAAAATATTGTGATACACATTAAACCTCCAATACCCATCCCTAGTTACAAGGCGACAATGAAGTAAATCTTGATGTGTTATGAGGCGACAATGAAGTAATTTTGGTGTTCTAGGAGGCAACAATGTGATTGTGTAATCCAATATCTGTGTAATCTGACATCTGTCTAATCCAATACTGTGAATCTGGAAACTAATGCGTCTCCAAATGAATATGACTTCTGCCCCCCCCCCCCCCCCCCCCAAAATGCAAAATGCGACTCAACATCAATGCGACCCTTTTTCACATTTTATTCATGCTCGCGTTAATTTCAAGATTTACGGTATCTGTCAATCCGACTTATCTAATCCAATATCTATCTAATCCGATATCTATCTAATCTGACATCCGTCTAATGTGACATCTGTCTAATCTGACATCTGTCTAATCTGTCATCCCTCTGATGCAACATCTGTCTAATCTGACATTCGTCTAATCTGACATCCGTCTAATCTGACATCTGTCTAATCTGACATCCCTGTAATGCAACATCTGTCTAATCTGACATCCGTCTAATCTGACATCCGTCTAATCTGACATCCGTCTAATCTGACATCTGTCTTATCTGACCACTGTCTAATCTGACATCCATCTAATCTGACCACTGTCTAATCTGACCACAGTCTAATCTGACATCTGTCTAATCTGACATCCGTCTAATCTGACCACTGTCTAATCTGACATCTGTCTAATCTGACCACTGTCTAATCTGACATCCGTCTAATCTGACCACTGCCTAATCGGACCACTGTCTAATCTGACATCTGTCTAATCTGACATCCGTCTAATCTGACATCTGTCTAATCTGACATCTGTCTAATCTGACATCTGTCTTATATGACCACTGTCTAATCTGACATCTGTCTAATCTGACATCCGTCTAATCTGACCAGTCTAATTTGACCACTGTCTAATCTGACATCCGTCTAATCTGACATCCGTCTAATCTGACCACTGTCTAATCTGACATCTGTCTAATCTGACCACTGTCTAATCTGACATCCGTCTAATCTGACATCCGTCTAATCTGACCACTGCCTAATCAGACCACTGTCTAATCTGACATCGGTCTAATCTGACATCTGTCTAATCTGACATCTGTCTAATCTGACCACTGTCTAATCTGACATGTCTAATCTGACATCCGTCTTATCTGACCACTGCCTATCTGACGTCTGTCTTATCTGACATCTGTCTAATCTGACATCTGTCTAATCTGACCACTGTCTAATCTGACATCTGCCTTATCTGACATCCATCTAATCTGACATCTGTCTAATCTGACATCTGTCTAATCTGACCACTGTCTAATCTGACATGTCTAATCTGACCACTGCCTAATCTTACCACTGTCTAATCTGACCACTGTCTAATCTGACATCCATCTAATCTGACATCCATCTAATCTGACATCTGTCTAATCTGACATCTGTCTAATCTGACCACTGTCTAATCTGACATGTCTAATCTGACCACTGCCTAATCTTACCACTGTCTAATCTGACCACTGTCTAATCTGACATCCATCTAATCTGACATCCATCTAATCTGACATCTGTCTAATCTGACATCTGTCTTATCTGACCACTGTCTAATCTGACATCCATCTAATCTGAAATCCGTCTAAACTGACATCTGTCTAATCTGACATCCATCTAATCTGACATCTGTCTAATCTGACATCTGTCTAATCTGACCACTGTCTAATCTGACATCTGCCTTATCTGACATCCATCTAATCTGACATCTGTCTAATCTTACCACTGTCTAATCTGACCACTGTCTAATCTGGCATCTGCCTTATCCGACATCCATCTAATCTGACATCTGTCTAATCTGACATCTGTCTAATCTGACCACTGTCTAATCTGACATGTCTAATCTGACCACTGCCTAATCTTACCACTGTCTAATCTGACCACTGTCTAATCTGACATCCATCTAATCTGACATCCATCTAATCTGACATCTGTCTAATCTGACATCTGTCTTATCTGACCACTGTCTAATCTGACATCCATCTAATCTGAAATCCATCTAAACTGACATCTGTCTAATCTGACATCTGTCTAATCTGACCACTGTCTAATCTGACATCTGCCTTATCTGACATCCATCTAATCTGACATCTGTCTAATCTTACCACTGTCTAATCTGACCACTGTCTAATCTGACATCTGCCTTATCTGACATCCATCTAATCTGACATCTGTCTAATCTGACATCTGTCTTATCTGACCACTGTCTAATCTGAAATGTCTAATCTGACCACTGCCTAATCTTACCACTGTCTAATCTGACCACTGTCTAATCTGACATCCATCTAATCTGACATCCATCTAATCTGACATCTGTCTAATCTGACATCTGTCTTATCTGACCACTGTCTAATCTGACATCCATCTAATCTGAAATCCGTCTAAACTGACATCTGTCTAATCTGACATCCATCTAATCTGACATCTGTCTAATCTGACATCTGTCTAATCTGACCACTGTCTAATCTGACATCTGTCTAATCTGACCACTGCCTAATCTGACCACTGTCTAATCTGACATCCGTCTAACCTGACATCTGTCTAAACTGACATCCGTCTAATCTGACATCTGTCTATCTGACCACTGTCTAATCTGACATCCGTCTAATCTGACATCCGTCTTATCTGACATCCGTCTAATCTGACCATTGTCTAATCTGACCACTGTCTAATCTGACATCTGTCTAATCTGACATCCGTCTAATCTGACATCCGTCTAAACTGACATCTGTCTAATCTGACCACTGTCTAATCTGACCACTGTCTAATCTGACATCCGTCTAATCTGACATCTGTCTCATCTGACATCTGTCTCATCAGACACTTTTTCCCGGTCCCGAGCAATGGCTGTTGTTTAGTATTAACTTTTCATCGCTAACCAATGGTTTTGTTCTAACCAGTTCAAATGGCTTGGTTTTCATCATATTTAGGTTTCTTTGGGGTGGTGGGGTAGCCTAGCCTTTGCCCATTTCCGGTGTCCCCCACCGTAATATTGCTGTAATATGGCTAAAAGCGATGCAAAGCCATACTCACTCACTCACTCACTCACTCACTCACTCACTCACTTTAGGTTTCTAATGCATTTAAGTATTAAAACGGGTAATGAAAAATATGTAAATATATATATGAAGGGTTGTGTGTCTTCTGTACACCGTAGTATGAACCCCTGTAGTAAGAACAACTGTACTAAGAAACCCTGTAGTATGAACCTCTGTAGTAAGAACTACTGTAGTTTGAACCTCTGTAATATGAACTACTGTAGTATGATCCCCCTGTAATATGAACCTCTGTAGTATGAACAACTGTAGTATGACCTCTGTAGTATGAACCAATGTAGTATGAACCACTGTAGTATGAACCAATGTAGTATGACCTCTGTAGTATGAACAACTGTCGTATGACCTCTGTAGTATGAACCCCTGTGGTATGAACCACTGTAGTATGAACCCCTGTAGTATGACCTCTGTAGTGTGAACCCCTGTAGTATGACCTCTGTAGTGTGAACCCCTGTAGTATGACCTCTGTAGTATGAACCCCTGTAGTATGACCTCTGTAGTGTGAACCCCTGTAGTATGACCTCTGTAGTGTGAACCCCTGTAGTATTACCTCTGTAGTGTGAACCCCTGTAGTATTACCTCTGTAGTATGACCTCTGTAGTATGAACCCCTGTAGTATGACCTCTGTAGTGTGAACCCCTGTAGTATGACCTCTGTAGTGTGAACCCCTGTAGTATGACCTCTGTAGTGTGACCCCTGTAGTATGACCTCTGTAGTATAAACCACTGTAATATGAACTACTGGAGTATGATCCCCCTGTAGTATGAACCCCTGTAATATGAACTACTGTAGTATGAACCTCTGTACTCCACCCATCTGTACACAGGTACTATGGCTGTGGACTGGTCATACCAGAAAAGGTGGAATCAACACGCATCCTTGACCTTGGTAGTGGAAGTGGGCGTGACTGCTATGCGCTCAGTAAGCTGGTGGGTGAGGAGGGGTCAGTTGTGGGCCTTGACATGACCGATGAACAGGTGAGACCTCCACAGCAAATTACCCAGAGTATATACATGTACATACACTCTATAACGAAGGCGGTACATCTCGCTTGTAGTTAATCAGACATGTATAACGGTATTGTGAACTTAAGTGACTTGTCACACACCTGGGGCAGCACACTAACAGATACAGATTAGATGTCACCTGCATTTTAAGCAGAATTTATTCTAATAATGTCAACATATTGGTGTAAAAATACCCAGCAGGCTGCAAATACAGAGTACAAATATTTTAAATCAAAAGCAGACTTTCAATACCCATTGTGAATATATTATGAGAATATACTCAATGGCTAAAAAGAACAGGAAAACTGCTGCGATGTCAGACTAGTCAGTTGTTGAGAACAGGAAAGATCAATTAGAGTGTCTGGACTTTTTTGTTTCTTTCATAGAATTACTTGATATTGAAAATTATTACAACATGTTTTGCCCAAACTGTGCAGAGATCCCCAACACATTGTATCCTTAAAATCAGATGTGAGTGTTCGCTACTGCCACACCAAAGATGAACTGTTTTGTGCGGCGATAGTGACCACTTAGATCTGTTTTTATGAGATTCCAAAAACAGGTGTCACCTTAAAAAAGTTTCTTTATAAATATAGTGTAAAAGAATGAGGCTGGAGACGTTGAATTGGTTCACACGAATAAAAACAAGAATTAAGTGTATAGAGGTCAAAAGATACACCTCATATGGCGATATGACAAATATGTCTTTGTTAGTTATCTGTTTAATCACTGTAATTGTAGAGCTCTGTATACAAGGGTTTAGCTGGTGCCATGTGCTTGCAACCCTCAACATGCTCGTGGGAGTTATCTCCCTTATCCTGTCATTGGCTGAGGCCCATTTAAGGATGGGGCCCATTTAGGGTTTAGCACACCTTACACCACAGAAATATCATTGTACCTAGTGCAACCCTGATCGTGACAGTTCATGAAGTTTCTAATATGATTTATAAAGTACAATATGCATGTTACATGTGTTATAATGCACATAATAACATATTGTGTCTTCTTTTGTCTCCTTTCTCTCAGCTGGAAGTGGCGAGGAAGTACATTGACTACCATACTCAGAAATTCGGCTACTCCAAACCCAATGTGGAATTCGTCAAGGGCTACATTGAGAAAATCACTGAGGCTGGGATCAAGGAAAACAGTATAGATATCATCATGTATGTATAGAGCCTTGACACGAGTAGTGAAGACATCATGTATGTATAGAGCCTTGACACAAATAGTGTAGACACCATGTATGTATAGAGCCTTGACACAAATAGTGAAGACACCATGTATGTATAGAGCCTTGACATGAGTAGTGAAGACATGTATGTATAGAGCCTTGACACAAGTAGTGTAGACACCATGTATGTATAGAGCCTTGACACAAATAGTGAAGACATCATGTATGTATAGAGCCTTGACACAAATAGTGAAGACACCATGTATGTATAGAGCCTTGACACAAATAGTGAAGACATCATGTATGTATAGAGCCTTGACACAAGTAGTGAAGACATCATGTATGTATAGAGCCTTGACACAAATAGTGTAGACATCATGTATGTATAAAGCCTTGACACAAATAGTGTAGACACCATGTATGTATAGAGCCTCGACGCAAATAGTGTAGACATCATTTGGGGCTGTACTTGAACATCTGCTAATTAGAGGAAACCTGAAACAACATAGAAGTAGAACTGGTATTAATAAATGTCTACTCATTGGTTTACAAAACCCAATAGACAAAACACAAGAGAGTAAACATTTGTTGAATACCACTAAAAAACTATACAGTTTGAATGATAATGTGAGTAAATACTCTTGGGCTACATAAACTATGTGGCTCCCTGACTAATCCTGTACCGACTCTCTCCTCCCAGCTCCAACTGTGTGGTGAACCTGTCCCCTGACAAGAAGAGTGTTCTGAGGGAGGCGTACAAGGTTCTCAAGGTAGGTGTGTTGACCAGCAGGGTGGGGATGTTGACCAGCAGGGTGGGGGATGTTGACCAGCAGGGTGGGGATGTTGACGAGCAGGGTGGGGATGTTGACCAGCAGGGTGGGGATGTTGACCGGCAGGTTTGGGTTGTTGACCAGCAGGGTGGGGATGTTGACCAGCAGGGTGGGGATGTTGACCGGCAGGTTGGAGTTGTTGACCAGCAGGGTGGGGATGTTGACCAGCAGGGTGGGGACATTGACCAGCAGGGTGGGGATGTTGACGAGCAGGGTGGGGATGTTGACCGGCATGTTGGGGATGTTGACCGGCAGGGTGGGGATGTTGACTGGCAGGGTAGGGGATGTTGACCAGCAGGGTGGGGATGTTGACCTACAGGGTGGGAACGTTGACCAGCAGGGTGGGAATGTTGACCGGCAGGGTGGGGATGTTGACCGGCAGGATGGGGATGTTGACCAGCAGGGTGGGGATGTTGACAAGCAGGGTGGGGATGTTGACCGGCAGGGTGGGGATGTTGACAAGCAGGGTGGGGATGTTGACCAGCAGGGTGGGGATGTTGACAAGCAGGGTGGGGATGTTGACCGGCAGGGTGGGGATGTTGACCGGCATGTTGGGGATGTTGACCGGCAGGGTAGGGGATGTTGACCGGCAGGGTGGGGATGTTGACCGGCAGGGTGGGGATGTTGACCTGCAGGGTGGGGATGTTGACCGGCAGGATGTGGATGTTGACCTGCAGGGTGGGGATGTTGACCGGCAGGGAGGGGATGTTGACTGGCAGGGTGGGGATGTTGACCGGCAGGGTGTGGATGTTGACCTGCAGGATGGGGATGTTGACCGGCAGGGAGGGGATGTTGACCGGCAAGGTAGGGATGTTCACCAGCAGGGTGGGGATGTTGATATGTTGACCGGCAGGTGTACTGCTGTACTTTGAAGATGGTCAAAGTTATGGTGTTATGGTGTAAAAATTAGTTAATAAACTGATTTGTGAGCAATGCAATACTTTTTTCTAATTGACTCTATGTTTGATTGGCAGGAGGGTGGAGAGCTGTACTTCAGTGACGTCTACTGTGACCGGGACGTGCCAGATTCAGCCAGGAAACATGAAATCCTCTGGGGTAGGTCGTCAGGCACCAGGTGCCCCAGGGTAGGCAGGACACCAGGTGCCCCAGGGTAGGCAAACACCAGGTCTTCTGGAGTTGGTAGTGAAGACACCAGGTGCTTTAGGATATGTAGAATCAGGTGTTCTGGGGTATGTAGAGCCAAACACTAGGTGTTGTAATGTAAATTGAGCCAGACACTAGGTGTTGTAGGCTAAATAGAGCCAAACACCAGCTGTGCTAGGGTAAATAGAGCCATACATTGAGTGTTCTAGAGTAAAAAGAGCCAGACACCAGGTATCTAGGGTAAATAGAACTATACATTGAGTGTTCTAGAGTAAATAGAGCCGGACAGCAGGTGTCTAGGGTAAATAGAGCCATACATTGAGTGTTCTAGGGTAAATAGAGCCAGACACCAGCTGTGCTAGGGTAAATAGAGCGACATTGAGTGTTCTAGGGTAAATAGAGCCAGACACCAGGTGTCTAGGGTAAATAGAGCGACATTGAGTGTTCTAGAGTAAATAGAGCCAGACACCAGGTGTCTAGGGTAAATAGAGCCATACATTGAGTGTTCTAGGGTAAATAGAGCCAGACACCAGGTGTCTATGGTAAATAGAGCCATACATTGAGTGTTCTAGGGTAAATAGAGCCAGACACCAGCTGTGCTAGGGTAAATAGAGCCATACATTGAGTGTTCTAGAGTAAATAGAGCCAGACACCAGGTGTCTAGGGTAAATAGAGCCAGACAGCAGGTGTCTAGGGTAAATAGAGCCAGACACCAGGCGTTTAGGGTAAATAGAGCCAGACACGAGGTTCTAGCTTATGTTCTTTTGTAGGTAGTCAGATGGCATGCACATGCCCTGGGTATATAGTCCTGAATGGTCAACCATGTGCCCTGAATGCTCCTGATATCTTATTACAGGCGAGTGCATCAGTGGTGCCCTCTGGTGGGAGGACTTGTACACGCTGGCCAAGGAGGTGGGGTTCAGCGAGCCCAGGCTTGTGACAGCAACACCAGTTCCCGTGACCAGAGACGATTTCAGACAGGTGCTTGGTGAGCAGAACGCATTCAGTCATTTGAGAAGCATAGTTTGTCCGCAAATGTTATTTGAACATGGATAATGATGTGGTTAAAGATATGACTGTCATATACACTAAAAAGGTGAACGGTGAATGGTGAACTTGGTTGACAGCAACCTATGTTCATTTTGCAATTGAGACAATGAAAACATTGCTCACGTATATTTAGAATGTTCTTATGTTAAAGATTTCTGGGATGAATTTAATGCTTTCATAAATGTTATTTTCGGTCATGTTATTATTACAAAACAAGATATCTACTTTGGAGGTACAAACAACTTCTACTGTATCACTTACTGATATGAGCAAACAGACACATTTACGTAACATATTAAAGGAATAAAACCATGTGTTAAGTCATATAGAAATATACCGATAACATTTACCATGTTGAGTTGTTCCTTGCAAATAGAAACGGAACAATAATTTCTTATTGTAGGCTGACTGACTTACTTAATCGATATCTCTTACAATTATTCCAACGTACATCGGAAGATAAACTTACCGTCATGTCACATCCTGTATATTTTTCTCATAATATTTACCATGTAATTTGATGCCTCTTATGATACGATGACTATGAACACAATGTAGGTCTGGGACGTGTAACTCGGGTACTCGGGTCGGATGGGTCCTCAGTAAGACCCGGGTACCCAGTAAGACCCGGGTACCCACATGACTACCTGGACCCGTGGTTAGTCACATGATATACTGTTTGATGACATTAACAATAAAACTCAATGGTTACACTACAAGTCTAGCTAATGTTCACATTTCATTCTCACTGTGCAAACATTCGTTCTGACTTTTATATGTTCGAGTAAGGATAAAGCGTCTATCAACTGCAGTGTATGGAGGATCAGATCGTTTTATACATGTAGCTAAATAGTTTTTGCCAGGGCTGCCGTTAAACAATACTCATTTGGACATTTTGTACCCAACTCTTGAGACCTACAGTGGGTACCCGGGTAGGGTCGGGTAATAGGGTGCTGGGTACCCGGGTAGTAAATTTGGACTCGTCACAATGCCATGTACCCTCTGAACAAGATTTTTTTTTTATAATTATTGTTCATGTGTTGAATTAAACTGTTACTGACATGTTGCTTCTGGCGTGACATGATGACTGTTGTGAGCATGACCTTTGTAGGAATTTATCAGTGAAAAAAAAGTTTTTTAACATGCATAATATTATGTGTTTTCATCACTTTTCTCAAAACAGACTCCACATGACATTGCCCCTTATGGCTCTAAGCTCTTCAGTTGTGTGTTAATACTGGTGGTGGCTGTGTATTGTGTGTTACCCCTAACTAAAGTGTCTGTGTCAGGTGATGCCCAGTTCGTGTCGGTGACGTACCGACTGTTCAAGTTACCATCCACCCTGCAGCCTAAGAGGCAGGTCATCTACAATGGGGAGATCCCGGGCTATGAGGGGGAATTTAAGTTTGACTACCAGCTCACATTCAAGGTAAGGTCGCCTCACTGTGATGAACACCCGTGAAGATCCGGGGTAGAATAGGCCTTCAGCAACCAATACTTGCCGTAAAAGGCGACTATGCTTGTCGTTAGAGGCAACTAACGAGATCGGGTGGTCAGCCTCACTGACTTGGTTGATGCATGTCATCGTATCTCAAGTGTGTGGATCGATGTTCATGATGTCAATCACAGGATTGTCTGGTCCAGACTCAATTATTTATAGACCGTCGTCATTTAGCTAGGATATTGCTGAGTGCGGTGTTAAACAACTAACAATCAAACAAACTCTTTGATGAAAATTCAGCCACACTAGTCTAAAACAGAAAGGACAGAACCGAGTACCACGGCACTGGAGCTCACCTTGATTCAGAAATATCACATTTAAGGGGGGAGGATGTGCTACTTATGCTGAAGGGGTCGTTTTCGGCACAGGTACTACAGAAATGTACCCTGAGGAAAAGAGGTTGACATGAAGGCTGGTTTCTACTCACTGAAATGAGCTGCTGGGGAAGCCATTTTTAATTTTTTCAATGATAATTAGTTTTCTTTGTTGGCAAGGTGAGCTAATGACCATGTGTTGTCAAAATTGATAACGTTGTTATACAGAATAACATTGTCGGCATCGATTTAACACTGTCACAATATACAGCATTGCCATCATTATGGAACATTGTCACATTGTCAGCATTGTTAAATGTTGAGTTGACCCATGAAGATCCGGGGTAGAATAGGTCTTCAGCAACCCATACTTGCCGTAAAAGGCGACTGTGCTTGTCATAAGATGTGACTAACAGGGCCGGGTGGTCAGCCTCACTGACTTGGTTGATGCATGTCATCGTATCTCAAGTGTGTGGGTCGATGATCATGATGTCAATCACTGGATTGTCTGGTCCAGACTCGATTATTTACAGACCTCCGTTATATAGCTGGTATATTGCTGAGTAAGGCGTTAAACAACAAACCAACCTACCAAACCAAATGTTGGATTGTCAGGCATTGTCAAAGAACAATGTTAGCATTGTCACAACATTGTCAGGGGGCACGGGTGGCCCAGTCGTCTAAGCCGCCGCGATTCGCTGTGCAGAGTTGCGCCCTTGAACACGCCAGAAACCTATGATTGTGGGTTCGAATCCCGGTTCGCCCCGATTATGTTTCTAGGTTTGTCAGCACCATACCCGTGCTCGTGGGTTTCACCGAAGTGGTAAATGTCTGAGACCTGTGTCACTTCAGGCTTTCCTCCCACATTAAGCTGACACGCCGCGATATAACTCGAATACTGTTAAAAGCGGCGTTAAACCCAACTCACTCACTCACTCACTCAAAACATTGTCACCATTGTCAGCAGATTTGTTATAACAGAAAATGAATTTGATGCCACATAAATTTCCATGAATATTAAAACACCTAGTTAGGACAGTGTGTAAGTAGGGCAGCTGCTTAATGTCATGTTGTCGGCCACAGAATGGGGATGCAGTCAGTGTAGGGGAGGAGATGTCCACCATCTTGTCTGCATCGCGGTTCAAGGACGAGTTTGACTTCCAGCCAGTCTCTGCACCTGGAAATTGTTGTGTCCCGGCCATGAAAGTGGTAAGTACCATTCTGAGCTCCCGACACCAATAAGTGTCCATGAAACTTCCAGACCATCTGTAGGTAATCTTATAAACATGTGCCCGGAAATTTTCATGACTTGTGTATTACAGATATCTGTCAGAAAAAACTGCAGTCTATAAGGGGTATATGATTGTGTATTGACTAATATATCAAAGGCGTTAGTTTCATTTAAAGTACTAAGTTTGTTATCTACCACTTGATCGCTGACAACAGATTTAACTTATGTATGGTTAAAATTAGTGCCTTCATTTGTCAATTTTCTTATTGCGGCAGATACACCATAAATAATCAGGTCAGAGAAGCGGGTTTGTCAATCATCTGTACTAATAAGGCCTGGGACGGGTAACTCGGGTCAGGTCAGGTTGGTTCTGAGTAGGGCCCAGGTCTCAGGACTATCCGGACCTGTGGCTAGTCACGTGATTTATTGTTAAGTGATGATAAAAGTCAAACTCCATGGTTACACAAGTCACTAAATGTGTTTGCACTTCTTTCTGACTATGCACACATTCTGACTTTTATTTGTTTGAGTAAAGATATAGCTTCTGTCGACTTCAGAGTATGCATTATCAGATTGTTTTATGCATGTATCTGAGCAACTTTTGCCAGGACTCGGGTAAAATTAGAAGCCTACAGCGTGTACCTGGGTAGAGTCAGTAAATTTGGACTCGTCCCAGTCCTAGTACTAATACAGGTACACTATGTTTGAAGGTCAATGCTGACCTAAACAAGCCTTCGCAACATCAAGAACTATTCAGGCCAAACTCAATTTGCAGACATTGTTAACGCAGATCAAGTTCAAAGGGCAAGCAATTCAGTCACTATGCTCGAAGTAGTCACATGTGATGATTGTTGTCCAGTTCAGCACAAATCCTAAAGGATTTCTTCCAGTTTTGGTTTCTGGGATACCGAAACAACCCATATCTATAGCTTTGTTAGCTTTTTCATTCATGTTGAATTTTGAATCAGATTTATGTAAAATAAAGAACAATCATATTTTGGGACAGTAAACTACGGTTATAAAGAATTCAAAGGGAAACTAATTTTGGTTCGTAATAACCGTAGTTCGTCATAAGCATATAAACAGCATATGTACAACAAATGCCCAGGACTAAAAAATAAGTTTGTTTTATCAGTCAGTTTGTTATAAGCATGTTCTATATAAACGTAGTTTACTGTATTTGATCCAAACTCTCAGGTTCATGATTTCAATTTCCAGCAGATTAATGAATCATTCTTGTTGTTCCTCGTTGTGACCGGCAACTACACAGAAAGCGTGGTTCCAGCACACCACAAAGTCTGAACACTGGTGTTTCTGCTCTTGTTCCATGAAGATCGATTTGTTATCAGACATACATACAATAATTTTTTTTAACAGAAAGTTGACCCATTCGAGTACATGGCCCAGTTGGATGCCAAGGGAGAGTTACCTGCCCCTGCTTGCTGTGCATCGGATGAAAAGAAGTGCTGCTAATCCGATCATCATAATCACAGAGCAATGTCACATATCGTGCAAGAATTGTCCAGATCTTCAGAGAAAAACAATTGATTCTCAGCCAATGACATCAGTAAAATGAGGGCAAATGACAATTTTAATTGTTGATCTTAAACAGTGTGCTGTCAGATCAGAATTTCAAATTATACCCTACAGCAGAAACAGGATTCTTTCTTGTAAGTTGATGGCAACAAAGAAGAGGACCTGAATTTGTGATGTATCTTGTTGGTGTCTGCTGCATCCAACATCATTTGGAAGTGGGGGCACGGTTGGCCCAGTCATCTAAGGTGGATTTTGGCCACACCAGAAATATGATTGTGGGTTCGAATCCCGGTTCATCCCCAATTGTTTCTAGGTTTGTCAGCACCATACCTGTGCTCATGGGTTTCACCAAAGTGGTAAATGTCTGAGACCTGCATCACTTCAGGGTTTTCCCCCATATGAAGCCGACACATCATGATATAACTGGGATACTGGTCAAAGTAGCATTAAAAGCCAACACACTCACTCTTTTGGATGTGGTGGGTAGCAACAGGATGATCAAGCTGTTCAGTATTTAATAACAGCATTGATGGCAGTTAAATCCACGGTTTCACAACTCTTTCATCACGTGTATGTTCCAACAATCAGGACGTTGTTTTACATCTCCCCACATTTACAGTGTACTTGAGTCACCCACAGTGGGAAGAGACAAATGGTTTTACATAATCCATGGCTCGAATAAACAGGATTCTTGTCACTGAATGCTCTTACAGATGCTAGTAGCGACATTCTTCAATTGTATATCATTGTTGACAACGCTGTCTCTTTCTTGCCTTCAGTTCATTTACCTCTCATCACCTTAACTAGTCTTTTTTAACACTTTAACAACTTGATTTAAGTTGTTCAAGTACCACTCAAATAACCCAGTTCAAATTTTATGATCTGTATCTAACAGAAACTTATTGGCCATGTCATTAATTACATATGGCCTCAAGAAAATAGGGCACCAGAGCCTCGACAGTCTTTAAAAAGACACATAATGCTCAGGTGCTCATTTTCATCATAGATGTCTAGGTATTGAAATTAGTGCCTTGTGTGAAACAAACTAACATCCTCCATATGTATATAAGTAACTGTTCACTGTTGGATTGACATATATCATAAATTTTTATCGAAACGACATACTGATGTTTGAACGACTTGCTGTAAACTTTGTATGACTGGCTACAAGGCGGAGCCGAGTCTTACATGGATTATTATGAGTTCTCAACTTCCTGTTTTGAGGTGTAATTCATCTGAATCTTCAATAAATTAAGACAATTGACATGAGACTATAACAGTAATAAATTTCATTGTTTCATTTTTGTTGTTCAATGACTTTCCAATTGTATCAGTATTCTACATGATTAGGAAGCACTGTTTGGAGAATGTGCTCATCAGAGATTATCAATCATGAATACTGTCATGTGACCCTATTTATGATTTGTGCGATTTATACAAATAAATTTGCTCAACAAATAAATATCTTTGGTTCTATATTCTGATTGGTCCAGGACATTCATCAGTTACCGACATAAATTTCCATGGATACTGTTACACCTTGTTAGGATACTGTGTAACTATGGCAACTGATTAATGTCATGTTGTCTGCCTGTGTGGGCCACAGAAAGGTGATGATGCAGTCAGTGTTAGAGATGGGTGGTGGGGCAGCCTAATGGTTCGCTCATCATGCCGAAGATCGAGGTTCAATTCCCCACATGAGTACAATGTGTGCCATTTTCCATGATATTGCTGGAATATTGCTAAAAGCAGCATAGAAACATGCCCATTCATTCACTCAGTGTAGGAAAGGAGATGTCCACCATCTTGTCTGCATCAAGTGGAAAGTACCATACAGAGCACCTACTCTAATAAGAGGCCCATAACCAACTCTAGACCAGGCTTTAGATATAAGAGAATGGGTTCTCAGGCAATGGCTTTTGAAATATGGTGCAGGTGGGTGGTGTTTTTTGTTTGTTATTGTTGTTGTTCAAGCTAGTATATAACCATATTTTGTTTTCAATAATTTTGGCAAAATTATGTTGTTCTTAAGTATTGTAGCATTTCACTGCCGGGGTGGTGTGTTTGTGACAAGGAATATTTGACGATTTTTGTGTGTGTTTAAAATAGAAAGAAAAACGAAACATGTGGCAGACTTGATGTGGGCAGTCCCGAGAACCAAGACCCTTTTTTTTTTTAACTCTTAGTAATCACATAAACGCTGCCTAAACCCGAAAATTTACATGACAAGTATGTGAGTGATATCTTACAGAAAACGAAGCAGTCTCAAAGGGGTAGTAGGGTAGCCCAGGGGTTACAGCACTTACTTATCTCACTCAAAACTCAGGCTATTCCCCTCATGGGTTCAGTGAGAACTCTCAGCATGGGGACTCCAGGTTAGAATTGGTCCCCAGCCACCTGTGCTGGTCGTAAGAGGCGACCAGATGGATCTGGGGGTCAGGCTCAGTGACTTGTTGATTGTGAGTGAATGTATCCCAATGGCATGGATCACTGTTCACCCACGGGAATGACTCAATTATTGGTCTCCGTCATGTAGCTGGAAAATTGCTGAGGGTGGTTTTAAACAACAAAAACAGCATTGTTGTAGTAGCTTGATACAAATTTGCTGGCATCAGTGTAAACTCTCCGCCAATGTCTGGTCTGCTGGGTATCAATGCTGGTTTTGAACAGTATTTCTGTCATGTTACAATGTTTCAGCTTGGAGAATAGCACCAAAGTGACACAGTACGAGATAGATATCTATCAGTGCCACACATCAACTTGATCCCCCCACCCCTTCACCTCCCCCTCCCACCCCTCCCTTGTACCCTGGTGGTGGTGATTACAGCTGTGATATTGACGAGTACTAAGGCCATAATAAATTAATTGCTAGATTATCATCCGCCTTTTCAAGTTGAAGACTGGACACCTTGGTATGAACAACTGATGACTGAAATAACAAAGATAATAAATAAACATTGATTTCAACAGTAGCAGTCGGATGAATCTGTGTCAAACCTATTTTCTATTTCCCAGCCCCAACTTGTACTCGTTTGTGAATTTATCCTCAATTGATGCTAACTTGTCAAGTTCCCCACAGCAAACTTCATAGAGCCATAGACACTAAACATATCACTTGGGCAAATCAAATTAATTTGTCAAGGGGTTGGTCATGAGTTGGGAGGGGATGATAATGTGGCAATTAATTCATTATTTCTTAACAAACGAGGGCAAAAGTGAGCGTGGCTCACTAATACCCCCGACCCGCCTAGTGTGTCAGTAGTTTCAAATTAAATAATGGATAGGGTTAGGGTTAATGTTTGAAAAATTCATAAAAAAATGGAAAATTAATAAAAACAATTTTTTTCTTTGGACTGCATCCCTCCATATGACACAGATTATATGTACTAAGTTTGAGATGAATCCACTGAATAGTTTAAGAAAAATCGCGCAGACAAAGTTTTCGGACAGACGGACGGAACCTTGGTATAACTATATACCCCCGACCTAAAAGGTCGGAGGTATAAAAAATTATCCCAATTTGTATTGTCATCACAGTGGCCATCAACAAAAACATCACAGTGGCTATCAAACACAAACAAAGACAGTTTCAAGGCAAGTGTTTTACTGGCAGTCATAAAGCACATTGATAATATTCTACATCATGGCAGCAGAGGTACATACAGGAAGGTGTCCCTGACAAGGTTATAGCTCTAGCACAGTCTCTGTAAACACAGTTGTGTGGCACCTATACATGAGGTGGTAGACACAGCTTGCCGTCAACCTCCACTGCATCACATGCAGGAAGAGATACGCCAGGGGACACAGGGATAATGGTACACAGTTCAGTATTGTAGATTCAGCTGCAGACAGCTTAAGTACAATTTAGAAGATTTCTACAATAGTCAGTCTAAATCTCGTCGAAATACATTGGTCACCTGTCAACAATGGGGTGATCATCCTCCTCGAAAGTCTTGGGGGATATATCCCACTGCCTTCAATAATCCCGAACATACTAGAACCACACAGTGGGATTCAAATTGTACATCAAAACAGTGGTCACTATAATGTTTTTTTTATGCCCAAGGTGATATAGTTTGTAGGAGAATGTAGCACCCATGGACGGTGACCAATGGCATCGTCTGCAGCTCGAGGACAATATATCAGTTCTGGGTAGCGTTGTACAAAGTAACTTTAGCCCTACAACTGTCATAAGCCTATGTTAAGGTATAGGAGTTACGATCACCTTAGCACTAAGATCACTTTCTACAACAGCACCCTGGCCCCACAAAGTGATCGTAGCTGTACAATTGTTGTATTAAATCTGCTAAATTACTTTGTGCAACAATAGTGCTATGACTGTTGAAAGTCTATGTTAAAGTACTTTGTGAAACGATACCTCTATGACTGTCGGAAGTCTTTGTTAAAGTATACAAGTAACAACAGTCATGGCACCACGATCATTTTGTGAAACGGGACCCAGGTCAAGATCTATGACTTGTCGTAAGTCTATGTTAAAGTACAGGAGTTACGATAGTCGTGGCTGCAATCACTTTGAGAAATATGACCGAAGTCTATGACTGTCGTGAGTCTATGATAGTTGAGGCGCTACGATCACTTTGTGAAACGGGACCCAGGTCTATGACTGACAGAGCTGATGCGGGGACAAGCATCCCTGTTGTTGAGAAACAATAGAGAAGTAACAATGGTTATCATGATTATGTTGAAGAAACATAACTAATAATGCTCATAACAATCACCAAAGACACCAGCACTTATCACCCACAGCACATAAAGGACAATAAATATTTAGAAATAATGGTCGAATATTCAATATTGCACAATAAGACCACAACAAACCAACAGGTATTTTCCCAACAGGTCATACTTGCGAAACCATCTACCTGAGCTGAAGGCTCAGTTTAACAAAGCAAAGAGCTGTTACTTTTAAGTTCAAGTTTGTACATGAGAAAAGGTGCTGCAGAGATAAAACTGTTCATACAGAAAGCTCTTGGCGTGCTGTTACTACAAATTGAATGCATTTTGTTTTCAGATGAGTTTGGGGTTTTTTCTGGTGTGATGCTTTGTTGTGGCCTGAGTGGAAGCTTTGTTCTAGCTGATGAATTTCCCATGAATCCTCCGCAGTTGATCGGGCGACACGTTGATCGGGATTGTCTCCCCTTTACCACCTTTGAATGGCACTGTTATAGTTCCTAGCTTCAGGGAGTCTCCACTCTTCTCATGCAGCACCTGCACACAGAACAACAGCAGTTGAGAGGGAAGTATTATATGCCGATGTAACAACAGGTTACAAGAGCTGCAGTACATAAAGACCAACTGACTGGCTATATGATCAGAGCTTCAGGTCACAGCTTTTTCTGTTGTCCAGTATGGTCTACTGAAAGCTGACTGGAATGGAATATAGGATCACTTTCTGAACATACCCGAGCAAACTGTGGTGTTGGGAACGTGGAGAAGTCTGTTCGGACCTGGCCACCCGTTCTGTACGATGCCAGCAGAGTCGTTACCTGGACCTGAACCTGGGAAACGTAAGGAGAAGATGCAGTATGGACACACGTTAGTTTTGAGACTGCTCTCTATACACGTTAGTGCTATTGAGTATATATACTGACAGATGGAATGCTACACTACCTCCTGTATCTGTCTCTCCATGGAGGCCATCTGCTCTCTACATAAGTTGGTGTTATAGTGGTATATATACTGACAGACAATCCTACACTACCTCCTGTATCTGTCTCTTCATGGATGTGAGGGAGGCTGTCTTCTCTCAATACATGTTGGTGTTACAGGGGTATATATACTGACAGACTGAATGTTACACTACTTCCTGTATCTGTCTGTCCATGAAGGTGAGGGAGGCCGTCTGCTCTCTATACAAGTTGGTGTTATAGGGGTATATATACTGACAAACAATCCTACACTACTCCCTGTATCTGTCTCTCCATGGATGTGAGGGAGGCCGTCTGCTCTCTACCAAAGTTGGTGTTATAGTGGTATGTATACTGACAGACAATCCTACACTACCTCCTGTATCTGTCTCTCCATGAAGGCCGTCTGCTCTCTACATAAGTTGGTGGTATAGGGGTATATATACTGACAGACAATCCTACACTACCTCCTGTATCTGTCTCTCCATGGATGTGTGGGAGGCCGTCTTCTCTCAATATAAGTTGGTGTTATAGGGGTATATATACTGACAAACAATCCTACACTACTCCCTGTATCTGTCTCTCCATGGAGGTGAGGGAGGCCGTCTGCTCTCTTTACAAGTTGGTGCTATTGAGTATATATACTGACAGACTGAATGCTACACTACTCCTGTATCTGTCTCTCCATTGAGGTGAGCGAGGCCGTCTGCTCTCTATACAAGTTGGTGCTATTGAGTATATATATATATACTGACAGACAATCCTACACTACCTCCTGTATCTGTCTCTCCATGGATGTGAGGGAGGCCGTCTGCTCTCTACCAAAGTTGGTGTTATAGTGGTATATATACTGACAGACAATCCTACACTACCTCCTGTATCTGTCTCTCCATGAAGGCCGTCTGCTCTCTACATAAGTTGGTGGTATAGGGGTATATATACTGACAGACAATCCTACACTACCTCCTGTATCTGTCTCTCCATGGATGTGTGGGAGGCCGTCTTCTCTCAATATAAGTTGGTGGTATAGGGGTATATATACTGACAGACAATCCTACACTACCTCCTGTATCTGTCTCTCCATGGATGTGTGGGAGGCCGTCTTCTCTCAATATAAGTTGGTGTTATAGGGGTATATATACTGACAAACAATCCTACACTACTCCCTGTATCTGTCTCTCCATGGAGGTGAGGGAGGCCGTCTGCTCTCTATACAAGTTGGTGCTATTGAGTATATATACTGACAGACTGAATGCTACACTACTCCCTGTATCTGTCTCTCCATTGAGGTGAGGGAGGCCGTCTGCTCTCTATACAAGTTGGTGCTATTGAGTATATATACTGACATATTGAATGCTACACTACTCCCTGTATCTGTCTCTCCATTGAGGTGAGGGAGGCCGTCTGCTCTCTATACAAGTTGGTGCTATTGAGTATATATACTGACAGGCTGAATGCTACACTACCTCCTGTATCTGTCTCTCCATGGAGGTGAGGGAGGCTGTCTGCTCCACAAGCTGTCGGGCAGGGTTGCTGCTCTCAGTCACAGGCTGTGATCCTGTACACATAAACTTGGTGAGAATCTATTATCTTAAAGATTTTTACAGTAACAATTTACCTGTCATTGAAAAATTATTTCTTAATGCTGTAAGATCAAAACCAGTACTTCCTCAGGCAAAACCCCTTTGGAAAAGTCTGGTCCTCACAGTCAGAATGTTTATCATTGCCTTGCAGTAGTTTAAATGTTGAATGTTCCACTGATGCTGGCAAAAACACAATTTTGAAACAAAACAAAAAAGTGGCTAAATTAATTGACCACATAATAATTTACAGTTCCCTAACACAACCTATTTAAAACCTTAAGTTGCCATTGTAAACCTTTGAGTGACCACCCACCTGGCTTCCTCTTCGTGATGTCCACGACAGTCGGGCAGCAGCTCAACTTGTTGGCTTCCTGCAAACATCATTGCTCAGCATGAGTGAGTGAGTATGGTTTTACGCCGCTTTTAGCAATATTCCAGCAATATCATGGCGGGGGACACCAGAAATTGGCTTCACACATTGTACCTATGTTGGGAATCGAGCCCGGGGCTTCGGAGTGACGAGCCAATGCTTTAACCACTAGGCTACCCAACCGCCCCTTGCTCAGCATGAAATATACCTATCTGACTGGTCAGTCACCATCTTGTAAAACTACCAATACAAGTTGGCACAATGGCTATCATGTCACTTGCTTGTTACGTCATAAATGAGTCTCTTGATACTTTTGTGTCATCATACTGAGTGACAGTGGACAGGCCACGAGAGAGAATGGACTGTCATCCAAACATAATTTAGCCAAACTAGATTCTAACATATATCATCTAAAAGAATGAAATATTTTGGAAAGCATATATATCCTTTCCAAAACAGATTGAAAGATAATGATTGTTCGATTTTAAAAAAGCCGGTATTTTCTTTGGGAGAACAACCAATCCAGAATAAAACATAATGAAATATGAGTTCTCAAAACAACAGAACCTTTGCCTCCTAGTCATGTTTATAGATTAGTATCTTCAAAATCCATAGATGTCTGACACAATTGGGAAATCATTATGAAAAATACAAACTGGCTAATTGGTTACCTTTAAATGCCAGATAAGTTGCTCTCGTACAGAAACAGAGTGATTTGAAACAAAATTTTCATTATGCTTAAATACGAGCAGGTTGTACTCTCGAGAAAACATGCCATCTATCCAAATTAACATATATTCATTATTCTTTACAAAAGATGTGGTTTCATGAAGTAAACATACAGCTAGCAGTGATGCTGTCTTCCTGGCCAGTTTAGACAGCTCACTTTTGCCAGGAACATTGTCGGGGAGATCACCAATATCAACATGACCGGTCTGGTTGGCCATTCCGATTGGCTTACTTGGGATCCGGAGTGAGGGTAAGCTGGCAAGCTGGTTCTGTTAAAGTAGAAGTTTCTAGATCAGTGAAGAGGTCTGGGAGTCCCACAATACATCAGTAAACAGGGTGGGGGTACTACAATACATCAGTAGACAGGTCTGGGGCCCTTCAATACATCAGTAGACAGGTCTGGGTATCCTACAATACATCAGTGAACAGGGCCAGTGTACTACAATGCATCAGTAGACAGGTCTGGGACCCTACAATACATCAGTAGACAGGTCTGGGTATCCTACAATACATCAGTGAACAGGGCCAGTGTACTACAATACATCAGTGAACAGGTCTGGGGGCCCTACAATACATCAGTGAACAGGTATAGGGATCCTACAATACATCAGTGAACAGGTCTGGGGATCCTTCAATACATCAGTGAACAGGTCTGGGGATCCTTCAATACATCAATGAACAGGTCTGGGGATCCTTCAATACATCAGTGAACAGGTGTGGGGATCCTAAAATACATCAGTGAACAGGTCTGGGAATCCTACGATACATCAATGAACAAGTCTGGGGCCCTACAATACAATAGTGAACAGGTTTGGGGTCAAACAATACATCAGTAGACTGGTCCGGGGGTCCTACAATACATCACTGAACATTTCTGGGGGTCCTACAATACAATAGTGAACAGGTTTGGGGTCAAACAATACATCAGTAGACTGGTCCGGGGGTCCTACAATACATCAATGAACAAGTCTGGGGCCCTACAATACAATAGTGAACAGGTTTGGGGTCAAACAATACATCAGTAGACTGGTCCGGGGGTCCTACAATACATCAGCGAACAGGTCCGGGGGTCCTACAATACATCAGCGAACAGGTCTGGGGGTCCTACAATACATCAGCGAACAGGTCTGGAGGTCCTAAAATACATCACAGGACAGTCCTGGAGGTGTTGGAATACATCAGATGACAGCTCTTGGGATCTGAACTTACCCTCATCTTGGAGGCCTTCAGGCGTAGGTTTTCACTTTTCACAAAGCGCAGCGCTTCACGGAGACAGTTGTTCTGAAGTGATCAACAACATGACATTCACACAAACAGACTTCTATCTGTCTAACAGTGAAGAGACTGATGAAAGCTTACTCTATCCAACACCCTTCAATCCTCCCATGTTACCTTTCACTCATACCACAATCAGTCGCATACCTGTTTAATTATCTACCATCAAAAAAAAATGTCATTGTGTTTCTAATAAGAATTTCATTTTCAACAATGTATTTAACAAATAAATAATGCTCCCTGCTTAAAAGATATCTGCTTCTATTCCTCATACCGAAGTACCCCTGGCTCGTCTCACCTGTTGTAGCAGGATCGGGGAGTCCTGGACGGGTAGCTCCACCCCACCCCCAGGCAAGGCAGCACCTGCAACACAGAACACACACGTCAGTATTGGGAGGCAAGTCTTTCCGGGCTGCTTCACAGCAGGGAGTCCATGTTGAGAATATGGACACACATAACTTTACATCATCTGAGTCAGTGAAGGGATGTACAGACAACTGGCAGTGTGGTAAAACATTGACTGATGCCATGACGGTACAATCCTGTCAGATGAAAGCTGAAGTTTAATCCCCAATCCAAGGACAATCAATACACATCAGACAATGTGGCTACCCAATTACCACTTCAACTACCTGTTTTCCTTGAGTACTGAGAACCTGATTAGCCTTGAAATTCCCAAGGGGAAGATGGCTAATGGATGAAACTTCATAAATAATGAAAATAAACTTCAAAACATTTTTCCAACACCCCATCACCCAGCAGTCTGACTACCCCATCACCCACCTGTCTGACCTCCCCATCACCCACCTGTCTGACCACCTCATCACCTACCTGTCTGACCACCCCATCACCCACCCGTCTGACCACCCCATCACCCACCTGTCCGACCACCCCATTACCCACCTGTCCGACCACCCCATCACCCACCTGTCTGACCACCCCATCACCCATCTGTCTGACCTCCCCATCACCCACCTGTCTGACCACCCCATCACCCACCTGTCTGACCACCCCATCACCCATCTGTCTGACCTCCCCATCACCCACCTGTCTGACCACCCCACCACCCGACTGTCTGACCACCCCATCACCCACCTGTCCTACCACCTCATCACCCACCTGTCTGACCACCCCATCACCCACCTGTCTGACCTCCCCATCACCCACCTGTCTGACCTCCCCATCACCCACCTGTCTGACCTCCCCATCACCCACCCGTCTGACCACCCCATCACCAACATGACCTACCACCTCATTACCCACCTGTCTGACCTCCCCATCACCCACCTGTCTGACCTCCCCATCACCCACCTGTCTGACCTCCCCATCACCCACCTGTCTGACCTCCCCATCACCCACCTGTCTGACCACCCCATCACCCACCTGTCTGACCTCCCCATCACCCACCTGTCTGACCTCCCCATCACCCACCTGTCTGACCACCCCATCACCCACCTGTCCTACCACCCCATCACCCACCTGACCTACCACCTCATTACCCACCTGTTTGACCTCCCCATCACCCACCTGTCTGACCTCCCCATCACCCACATGACCTACCACCCCATCACCCACCTGTCTGACCTCCCCATCACCCACCTGTCTGACCACCCCATCACCCACCTGTCCTACCACCTCATCACCCACCTGTCTGACCACCCCATCACCCACCTGTCTGACCTCCCCATCACCCACCTGTCTGACCACCCCATCACCCACCTGTCCTACCACCCCATCACCCACCTGTCTGACCACCCCATCACCCACCTGTCCTACCACCTCATCACCCACCTGTCTGACCTCCCCATCACCCACCTGTCTGACCTCCCCATCACCCACCTGTCCTACCACCCCATCACCCACCTGTCTGACCTCCCCATCACCCACCTGTCTGACCACCCCATCACCCACCTGTCCTACCACCCCATCACCCACCTGTCTGACCTCCCCATCACCCACCTGTCTGACCACCCCATCACCCACCTGTCCTACCACCCCATCACCCACCTGTCTGACCACCCCATCACCCACCTGTCCTACCACCTCATCACCCACCTGTCTGACCTCCCCATCACCCACCCGTCTGACCACCCCATCACCCACCTGTCTGACCACCCCATCACCCACCTGTCCTACCTCCCCATCACCCACCTGTCTGACCTCCCCATCACCCACCTGTCTGACCACCCCATCACCGACCCGTCTGACCACCCCATCACCCACCTGTCCTACCACCTCATCACCCACCTGTCTGACCACCCCATCACCCACCCGTCTGACCACCCCATCACCCACCTGTCCTACCACCTCATCACCCACCTGTCTGACCACCCCATCACCCACCCGTCTGACCACCCCATCACCCACCCGTCTGACCACCCCATCACCCACCTTTCTGACCACCCCATCACCCACCTGTCTGACCACCCCACCATCCACCTGTCTGACCACCCCATCACCCACCTGTCCTACCACCCCATCACCCACCTGTCCGACCACCCCATCAACCACCTGTCTGACCACCCCACCATCCACCTGTCTGACCACCCCATCACCCACCTGTCCTACCACCCCATCACCCACCTGTCCGACCACCCCATCAACCACCTGTCTGACCACCCCATCACCCACCTGTCTGACCACCCCATCACCCACCCGTCTGACCACCCCATCACCCACCCGTCTGACCACCCCATCACCCACCTTTCTGACCACCCCATCACCCACCTGTCTGGCCCGAGGACTGCCTGGTGAGTCCCTCCAAGAGGGTTTTCTTGGATAGCACCTTCAGCCTGTCCTTCAGCTCGAGCTTCTCCTGCTCCAGGGTGTCGATGTCACTCTGCAAGGTGTCCATCGTCTCCTCAAACTCCCTGCAACACAAACATCAAGTCACTGCACCACTGGAGGAACAGACAACTGTACTGTGAGGAATCTTGTTTTTACCGCAGCCAGCCACATACACAGGCTGTAAATAGTCTGGGCCAGACAATCAATGGCTAGTAGCATCAGTAACAACTCATGTGTGCGTCAAAAATGGTTGGTTGGTTGGTTGGTTGGTTTGTTGTTTAACGCCGCACTCAGCAATATTCCAGCTATATGACGGCGGTCTGTAAATAATCGAGTCTGGACCAGACAATCCAGTGATTAATATCATGAGCATCAATCCATGCAATTGGGATCGATGACATGCATCAACCAAGTCAGCGAGTCTGACCACCTGATCCCGTTAGTCGCCTTTTACGACAAGGATAGTCGCCTTTTATGGCAAGCATGTGTTGCTGAAGACCTATTCTACCCCGCAATCTTCACGGGTGCGTCAAATAATGACACAAAGTGCAAAGCTCTTAAAGCAAGCATGACAATTAGGGTCCTGCCCATGACAGAGAGAGACTTGTGACCTCTCTGAAGCCAGATCTCCATGCCTTGAGGTAATATCAGAGTGAGTGATTGGTGTATTAGCTACAACAACATCATGGACAGGTATCAGGCACGGAACAAGTAAACCGAGGCTTGACACTGTGAGCTTCAATACTTTTTGTCTTGGAACAATACGACAATATTCCCATCACACCATATGAGGTCTGATGGGAAGATTGCCCAAATCAAGTCCCATCCATCATCAACTGATTCCCTACATTCAGCTCATATCTGCATGGATGTATCTGTGTCTTGAGTTGAATGGAGAGTATCTCTATTGACTTACACACCATCCAAGCTTCCACCTTCAGACATCACTTACTTCTCCTTCTTCTTCATGCTGATGTTCAGCTCGTCGAGTTTCCGCTGTATCTTGTCCACACGACTGTCGCCGTCTTTGGAGGCATTCTCTAACTTCTTCTCAACCAGTTCCACTCGAACCTGCTGCTCACTGAGCTCTTCTTGCTGGGGACACACGAGGACATACATCTTGAGACATATACACACACCTCTCTTATAGGGACACACGAGGACATACATCTTGAGACATATACACACACCTCTCTTATAGGGACACACGAGGATATACATCTTGAGACATATACACACACCTCTCTTATAGGGACAAACGAGGACATACATCTTGAGACATATACACAGACCTCTCTCATAGGGACAAACGAGGACATACATCTTGAGACATATACACAGACCTCTCTTATAGGGACACACGAGGACGTACATCTTGAGACATATGCACAGACCTCTCTCATAGGGACACACGAGGACATACATCTTGAGACATATGCACAGACCTCTCTTATAGGGACACACGAGGACATACATCTTGAGACATATACACAGACCTCTCTTATAGGGACACACGAGGACATACATCTTGAGACATATACACAGACCTCTCTTATAGGGACACACGAGGACATACATCTTGAGACATATACACAGACCTCTCTTATTGGGACACACGAGGACATACATCTTGAGACATATACACACACCTCTCTTATAGGGACACACGAGGACATACATCTTGAGACATATACACAGGCCTCTCTTATAGGGACACACGAGGACGTACATATTGAGACATATACACACACCTCTCTTATAGGGACACACGAGGACATACATCTTGAGACATATACACACACCTCTCTTATAGGGACACACGAGGACATACATCTTGAGACATATACACAGACCTCTCTTATAGGGACACACGAGGACGTACATCTTGAGACATATACACACACCTCTCTTATAGGGACACACGAGGACGTACATCTTGAGACATATACACACACCTCTCTTATAGGGACACACGAGGACATACATCTTGAGACATATACACACACCTCTCTTATAGGGACACACGAGGACATACATCTTGAGACATATACACAGACCTCTCTTATAGGGACACACGAGGACGTACATCTTGAGACATATACACACACCTCTCTTATAGGGACACACGAGGACATACATCTTGAGACATATACACAGGCCTCTCTTATAGGGACACACGAGGACATACATCTTGAGACATATACACAGACCTCTCTTATAGGGACACACGAGGACATACATCTTGAGACATATACACAGGCCTCTCTTATAGGGACACACGAGGACATACATCTTGAGACATATACACAGACCTCTCTCATAGGGACACACGAGGACATGCCTCTTGAGACATATACACAGACCTCTCTTATAGGGACACACGAGGACATACATCTTGAGACATATACACAGACCTCTCTTATAGGGACACACAAGGACGTACATCTTGAGACATATACACAGACCTCTCTTATAGGGACACACGAGGACATACATCTTGAGACATATACACAGACCTCTCTCATAGGGACACACGAGGACGTACATATTGAGACATATACACACACCTCTCTTATAGGGACACACGAGGACATACATCTTGAGACATATACACACACCTCTCTTATAGGGACACACGAGGACATACATCTTGAGACATATACACAGACCTCTCTTATAGGGACACACGAGGACGTACATCTTGAGACATATACACACACCTCTCTTATAGGGACACACGAGGACATACATCTTGAGACATATACACAGGCCTCTCTTATAGGGACACACGAGGACATACATCTTGAGACATATACACAGACCTCTCTTATAGGGACACACGAGGACGTACATCTTGAGACATATACACAGACCTCTCTTATAGGGACACACGAGGACGTACATCTTGAGACATATACACACACCTCTCTTATAGGGACACACGAGGACGTACATCTTGAGACATATACACACACCTCTCTTATAGGGACACACGAGGACATACATCTTGAGACATATACACAGACCTCTCTCATAGGGACACACGAGGACATGCCTCTTGAGACATATACACAGACCTCTCTTATAGGGACACACGAGGATGTAACTCTTGTTGAGAAATACACAGACCTCTCTTATTAGACATACAAGGATGTGCACAATAATAACCATATTGTGGAGACATATACACATTTAAGCAGGCCTTGTAAACAAGCCTTATGGGGCCCTGTACATTCTTTGATGAATGGCGTTAACATTCACCTTTACAGAACAGGTGCCTGTCATACTGGTCACCAACATCATACCCAATGATCCTGCCACATTGTGGAGAGGAAGTTGTAAATAGGCTTAATGATCATATGATTCAAGTCCCACAATACACCATCGCAAGGTCCTCAGAATCAGTTCAGCTCATTTTTAAAATTTCGTTCACACCAAGAGACCAGAGTGTCATTCATTGACAGAAACAAGGGGTCCGGAAACTGTCATATGCGCCGGATATGTCCGATTGGGAATCTCAAATGTCCGGTTTAAAATATTGCTTACCAGACATTTAAATTTTTCTGTCTGGCCATTTTAAAAACAAAGAGGAGTCCAAATAATTGATGAGCATTATCGGATTTATTGACTGTTATTTCCGGTATTACGTGATCGCGGTGATCGGCTGATAATGTTTTCTGAGATTGGGGAAAACATCGTGTCATTGGAAAACTTGAAGTTTGTTAAAAATGTTAGTAAATTTTGGGAGCCATGCTTTACCGCACGCTATAACCAAGTTAGCACTATATTAAAGCACGCAATAACGAGGGAACACTGAAAGTAACAACTTGTAATGTGTGTGAAAAGTCATACTAAAATACGCTAATTGAAGGGGGCGTGGCCTAAATGCAAATGTCCGATTTGTATTTTAAATTTTCCGGACCCCTGACAGAAACCGTGACTTTTCTCTAGAGGAAAATTACCTTACCAGCAAATCAGTTCAGCTAAGTTTTAAAAGTTCCGTTGTCCACCACGTGCACACACCGAGTACCTGACAGTGCCGCCTTCAACAAGTGGGCCGAATCTCACCTTGAGTCTCAGCTGTTTCTTCAGCTCCTTCACATCATCATCCTTGGCATCCATCTTGAACTTCATGACCTCAATGTCCGCAATCTGGGACCTGACCATGTTAGCACGCTGCTTGACTGGTGGCACCACCTGGTGAGGGAAAACACAAAAATGTAGAAACAGCCAAACAAGCGAACACACTCCTTACATTGACAGCTAATGAAGGAGTGAGTATGACAATGGGGTCTGAAAGTATTGCAGCTACATCTTGACAGCATGTCTACATCATAGCCTGAAACAAACCTGTAGTAGACAGGGATATCTGATGCTGGCATCTGGGGCTTCTCGGGGCAAGAGTGAGTGAGTGAATCTAATGCTAGCATCTGGGGCTTCTCAGGCAAGAGTGAGTGAGTGAATCTAATGCTGGCATCTGGGGCTTTTCATACAAGAGTTAGTGAGTGAGTGAGTGAATCTAATGCTAGCATCTGGGGCTTCTCAGGCAAGAGTGAGTGAGTGAGTGAGTGAGTGAGTGAGTGAGTGAGTTTGTGAGTATGGTTTTACGCCGCTTTTAGCAATATTCCAGCAATATCACGGCGGGGGACACCAGAAATGGGCTTCACACATTGTACCCATGTCGGGAATCGAACCCGGGTCTTTGGCGTGACGAGCGAACGCTTTAACCACTAGGCTACCTGACCGCCCCAGTGAGTGAGTGAATCTAATGTGATCTGGGAGCTTCTCATACAAGAGTTAGTGAATGAATCTAATGTTATCGGGGGGCTTCTCATACAAGGGCTAGTGAGTGAATCTAATGTAATCTGGGGGCTTCTCATACAAGAGTTAGCAAGTGACTCTAATGTTATCTGGGGGCTTCTCATACAAGAGATAGTGAGTGAATCTAATGTAATCTCGGGGCTTCTCATACAAGAGTTAGTGAGTGAATCTAATGTAATCTGGGGGCTTCTCATACAAGAGTTAGTGAGTGAATCTAATGTAATCTGGGGGCTTCTCATACAAGAGTTAGTGAGTGAGTGAATCTTATGTAATCTTGGGGCTTCTCAAACAAGAGTGAGTGAGTGAATCTAATGTAATCTGGGGGCTTCTCAAACAAGAGTTAGTGAGTGAATCTGATGTAATCTGGGGGCTTCTCATACAAGAGTTAGTGAGTGAATCTAATGTAATCTGGGGGCTTCTCATACAAGAGTTAGTGAGTGAATCTAATGTAATCTGGGGGCTTCTCATACAAGAGTTAGTGAATGAATCTAATGTAATCTGGGGGCTTCTCATACAAGAGTTAGCGAGTGAATCTAATGTTATCTGGGGGCTTCTCATACAAGAGTTAGTGAGTGAATCTAATGTTATCTTGGGGCTTCTCATTCAAGAGTTAGTGAGTGAATCTAATGTAATCTGGGGGCTTCTCATACAAGAGTTAGTGAGTGAATCTAATGTTATCTGGGGGCTTCTCATACAATAGTTAGTGAGTGAGTGAGTGAATCTAATGTATTCTGGGGGCTTCTCATACAAGAGTTAGTGAGTGAGTGAATCTAATGTAATCTGGGGGCTTCTCATACAAGAGTTAGTGAGTGAATCTGATGTTATCTGGGGGCTTCTCAAACAAGAGTTAGTGAGTGAATCTAATGTGATCTGGGGCTTCTCATACAAGAGTTAGTGGGTGAGTGAATCTAATGTAATCTGGGGGCTTCTCATACAAGAGTTAGTGAGTGAATCTGATGTTATCTGGGGGCTTCTCAAACAAGAGTTAGCGAGTGAATCTAATGTTATCTGGGGGCTTCTCATACAAGAGTTAGTGAGTGAGTGAATCTAATGTAATCTTGGGGCTTCTCATACAAGAGTTAGTGAGTGAATCTAATGCTGTAACCTGGAAGCTTCTCATATAAGATATTCTATTCACAATGAAGCTGAAAAAAATATTAAACTTAATCATTCAGACTGTAATATCCAATTATTTCTCATGATCATTATAGGAAATAATTCAAATAAGATTTAACATGCCCTTTAAGAATTGGGACTTTTAAAAAATGTTTATATTCATGATATCAATGCTGTTTAGAGCCCTACTTGAAAACAACCAAGGCAATTGCCATCTGTGTGTCCAACAAACAAAGCTGCATGCAAACACACATCTCACAACCAGCTTGGTCATGGAAACAATGCTGAAAAAAGACTGACATGACACTGTTGTCATGGACACAGTGTTGATTACAAGCTGATAGCACACTGTTGTCATGGAAACAATGATGAATACAAGCTGGCATTACACTGTTGTCATGGAAACAATGATGAATACAAGCTGGCATTACACTGTTGTCATGGAAACAATGATGAATACAAGCTGGCATTACACTGTTGTCATGGAAACAATGATGAATACAAGCTGGCATTACACTGTTGTCATGGAAACAATGATGAATACAAGCTGGCATAACACTGTTCTCATCAACATAATACACTGATAAGCATCATGCATGATGAACTCAATATTTCACAATCGTAAACACGAAAGAAGCAGTTGAAATAAGACATTCCAAAACTAAATTAACACTTTTCTGTAGTTTCTTTGCATGAGAAAGTATAACATGCAATTGTAGAAAATGAATCATTGTCTTTTTGCACACAAACTTAAAGATATTCATCTAAATTACAATACACAGGTGAATGTTACCACTGTTTTGGATGAAGTTATAAATCCTGATGGCTGGAAAACAATGGCATGGGAAGATTGGTATGGTTATAGTCATGACTTCTTGAAGCCATCATGTTGAATGGCCAGTGTTCCCGTTTACCGGTAATTATCAGTTTTTTACCAGTAAAATTTGTCTTGGACCGGTAATTCATGTAACTGTCAGTCCCTGTGGACCGGCAAATGAAGCAAATTATAAATCTTTGTTGTTGAACAAAACAGTAAAGTAGTCTCAAACGAAAGTGAACTTTGTGTTACTTCAGAGATAACATCATTGAATTTGTTAGCCATGAGTGAGTGAGTGAGTGAGTTGGGTTTAACGCCACTTTTAACAGTATTCCAGTTATATCACGGCGTGTCAGCTGAATGTGGGAGGAAAGCCCGAAGTGATGCAGGTTTACAACTTCAGTGAAACCCATGAGCACGGGTATGGTGCTGACAAACCTAGAACCATAATCGGGGCGAATCGGGATTCGAACCCACAATCATAGGTTTCTGGCGTGCACAGCCAATTGCTGCGCCTCAGACGACTGGGCCACCTGTGCCCCTTTGCCAGCCATGAACTTACACAGCATTGTTGATGATGTCGAAAGAATTAAAACTAGGTAAATGTTGGGACTGACAAAAATTAGGGGGGAGTGTTAATTTTTAGAGTTTCAAAAACTAGCGGGAACACTGATGGCCACATTATGGGCCTAACATATCATTGTACCAAGGTGGGAAACTGAACCTGGGTCTTCTGCCTGACAGCAAATGCTTTAACCACTGGGCTACCCCGCCACATCAGAAACAGATGAGGTCATAAATGTTTAGGACTTGTATACCTCTGATACTGTCAGAATACTCAGTCTACGTGAGATCAACACATGGATGACTGAAGGTCAGATCTTTATATCACATATTTAAACCATTGCCACCCTCTGGTGCAGACATGATGGAATTAAACTTGAGGCTTTGAAACATCCATCGTGTCATCCAAACAAGGGAATTACCCATCCAACAGCTCCCGCCTAGTCAGTGTTCTTAAAGGGGAAACTGCAGTTCATGTGGATTACTGCTATAGTTATTAATTCCACCTGATTTTTTACTTTTAACAATAAGGTTATGACAAGGACCTCTTAACGTTTCTGCTTAAGTTCGAACACTGCTAGTTCCAATTTGTTATTTATCTGTCCCCACCATTCCAAACCATCTCCTATTTTTCTGTCTGTGTGTTGCAGTCAGTATAGTTGTCATTGGTCAAAGGAAACTAACACTGAGTAAATAATTGGATTACAATGACAGTACAGATGTCATGCAATGCAGAGCTCCAACAGGACTCCATTCCTGCGACATACAATGTCCAGGGATTTATCCAGGGTTCTAAACTAAGCACCCCTGGCAGGCAAATTGGGAAAAATCATTATTTTGTTCAAAATTGGGATTTTTTAAAGTTCTATTTTTCGTAAAATGAGAGGAAAGCCCATTTGAACATTGTATTTTGAGATTGCACTTAATGCAATAATATATAACTAAGCATTACATCTTCCTATTTATACGTCCTGTTGAAAAAGTTTTTTTCTACAAAGCCATAAAATTAGCTATTTGTTATATACATATATGTTAAATTGGGAAACTTCCATTTTGGGAATGTTAAATGACATTTGCTGCAGACTTGAAGCCTAATATTGGCCTCTGAGCACGTCTAGATAAATCCCTGATGTCACAACACCAAATCCTTGAAGTACACAAAATTCTAAGCCTCAAGGTTTATATGACTTTGGAATTCCGTCAGGAGCAATTACCACTGTAAATGTCCTGCCTTCTGTGGCCGGCCAGTGGAACTCAAAACACAGTGGACAGCTGGACTGATCACGAGACAGACAAAACATACACGTACCGTCATGTCCCTGGTGCCATCAAAGTCGTACTCGCCATTCTCCATGGCGTTGGCCAGCTTGTTCATCGTCCCAACCACAATACCGAATGAGAGCCTGCAATCACAACCATATATCATGCTTTGCCTCTAATTATATAAAGTGGATAAGATCAGAGCAACATCCACACTATTCTTGCAGCCACTATTCTAATTTCAAAATGATGGAAAGAGTGAGTGAGTGAGTTAAAATTTAACATCACATCGGCAATATTTCAGCCGTATCGTGACGAGAGAAAGTACTCCATTCAAAATAGATATATTTAGACTGTATTAAAAAAACTGTCGTTGGAGGACAGTAAAATAACTAGACTTATCACACATTTTATTTGAAACTAGAATAGAACCATAAAAAGATAAAACCATGCATAACAATACATGATAATAACGAGCTATAGATTGCCAGGCACTGAAGGTAGATCCCCATACTAGGGACCATGGGGACTCACAGTACCTTTGCTACCTGCATGGGTGAGGTGAGGTGAAATCGGTTTAACATCGCTTCCAAGATTATTGCAATTATACAGCGACGTGCATGCACGTGTGTGTGTGTGTGTGTGTGTGTGTGGCTGCTTGTACTAGTCCGGACTGATGCCGATTTATAGTGCTAGCCCACTGAGATACCATGCCACAGTTGAACATGAATACCCCACTCAGACACAGTATACTGACTCCGAGCCGACCAGTCCTTGTTTTAGCCCCTTATGCCGAGCGCCAGACAGGGTAACAACAAGTACCATCTTTTAACGTCTTGGTATGACGCAGCAGAGGATCAAACCCCGGACTGTCCGCTCTCCGGGCAGACGCTCTACCACTAGACCATGGAGGCAGTCTGCTACCTGCATGGACCAAATGATGGAAAGAGAGAGATGGTATACCATGGTGCAGTTAGCAGTTATACAGTTAACTCAAAGCTGCCTGTAATGTAAACAAGTCTGGTCTTATTGTCTTTAGCTTTATGCCACTTTCAGCAGTCTTCTTTAAAATGATAATTCCTTAAATATCCCTGACTGACCTCAGACACTCATAGGGTCCATTGTCTTCCTTGCCATAGACCCGGTCTGTGGCCTGGTATGCCAGCTCCTCCAGTTTCTTGGGCATAAGACCCTCAGCATCTAGACAAATCGTGAATGAACATTAGCTCATCATCTGGCGAATGTCAGGCCATATCATGAACAGACACTAGTACTCTTGTCTTCAACATACTCATACTCCGTCTGGAGAGACTTGTCGTGCTAAGAATGACTAAAACCACTTCAAATCTTATATGGTGATAAGTCACAAGACTGACGAATTTACCCAACACTTTTTGTGATGAAGGTATGGTATACAGAGATATTACACCTCTAGGGGTGAGATACAGATACAATATCTCCCTTAATTACTTACTGTATGAAACGTTATGATCACTGATGGTACAATTATGCTGACAGGAAAACAAATGTTGAAGAAAAGGTGCAGCATTGATAAAAGATAAACTGAATTAAAGCCAGGAGTAGATTAAGATGCTGTAAAATAAAAGTAAGTTTGCAGCACTGTGAGGGTGTGGAGGGAAGGGTGCCATCTCATATCTCAGTCACTGCAACTACTTAAATCAAGTAGTACTAGTGTCAATAAGTGCCAAAATCAAAAAGAATTAAGAATTCAAAGAATTAAATCTTTATATTTAATGTCTTATTCAAGATATCATATTCAACCAAATACCAATAAAAGACTTCGTAAAAAACTTTCCAAAGAGATTTACTTGGCCAAATTTTTTTCTAAATGTCTTATTATCTTTATGAAGGTTTCATAAAACCAAATATTACATTTTAAAACACATCCATATATATAGTCTTGATGAGGTGCCCCCCTAACTCCCCCCACAACCCAACACCACCCCCATGCTAGTCCGGCTAGGCTTTTGGTACCCCCAGCTACTGGAGAGAGAGCTACCGAGTAGCCATCATGCAGGTTAGTAGCACCACAGAGGATTCCGCATTCATAACATGCATACCATTAGTACATGATAATGATTCAATGATAATCGTTTCCCTATTCTCAATGCAATATGGTTACCAGCCCCTGCACTCTGTCAGATCAGCGGCCGACTTCTGCCAGAATGTTGTCAAGCAGCCATGCCATCCACCTACACAAGGTCACAGCTTTGTTTGTCTGTTTGTTGTTTAACTCCGCACTCAGCAATATTTCAGCTATATAAATGGCGGTCTGTAAATAATCATGTCTGGACCAAACAATCCAGTGATTGATATCATGATCATCGATCCACGCAAATAGAATACGATGACATGCATCAAGCAAGTCAGCGAGTCTGACCACCCGATGCCATTTGTCGCCTGTTACGGCAAGCATGGGTTGCTGTAGACCTATTCTACCCCGGATCTTCACGGGTCCAAAGTCACAGTATGCCATTGGGGCAACAGAACACAGCTGATCAGCAAAGCTTCAACCAGATCTTCCAAAACATACGTTATCATTTTGGCCACCCAACCACCAATTCTGGAGCCTTCTTAGACACACGTCCTGTACAAGTTCAAGCTCAAACATGCTCTGTTATGCATGTCATGTTATATTGACCATAGGAACAATTTGTGTTGCAGGGTATTTAATGTGATGTAGCATATCTGGTGAGACGCTACACAGGCCAAGAACATATAATGTTGTCCATATATCCTTGAATTTGAATCTCTATTTTGCAATTAGCATATATCATTCATATCAATGAAGCCAGCAGGTAGAAACACAAACAATTCATCTGTTCCAGCTCTAACAAACAACCTCCTTCCTGTTAATCAAATGGGACGAAATGTTTTTGAAATATCTGTTCTAAACTACAAGTAGAAAGATCAGGTTAAGAAAATATAGCATGAACTATGTGAGAAGGAAGCCAGTGATGAGTGCTACGTCCAACTGTTATCAAGAACATGTTTTGTTTCTTTGTTTGTTGTTTAACGCCACATTCAGCAATATTCCAGCTCTATGACGCAAGCCTGTAAACCAGGCCAGACAATGCAGTGATTGACATCATCAGCATCAATCTATGCAATTGGGATATAATGACATCATTAACCAAGTTAGCAAGCATAACCACCCGATCCCGTTAGTCACCTCTTATGACAAGCATGAGTTTCTAAAGAGAAATTCTAATCCGGATCATCACGGAGGACATGGCAGCCTGTGGTTCTAGAGTATCTGACATTCACAGTAGATGTCTCTGATGATGTCTGTCTGTCAAACTATGCATGCCCTATGGACTAAAAAAAATTCTGCTGAAATTGAGCTTTAAACGTTTGTCATATTTTACTATTTATGACGTTAATCAATTTAAGCTCCAAATGAACAGAAATCTGTGAAATCTTGAAACTGTCTGCCGTATTGAATGGACACATAGTAAGAAACTTTCTGCCATACTGTGTGTAAACATAGTGATGACACGATCTGCCATATTAGGTGTGAACATGGTAAAGAAGGGCACAAAAAGAATGTAAATCTAGTAAGCTTTGTTAAGTGTGTATGTGTTATGGACACCATGTTTGCCAGATATCTACTAGTTTGCAGTAGTCTATATGCCCCACGGCTGGTGAAGCTCAGCAACCACCAGCGACCTGCTGAGCTACAGTTAGTAAAGAAATACCTCATCCTTGCCTTTTTTTTCCCTCTCTGTAAAGTGGGAGATTGTCACAAATCAATATACAACTCAACACAATGTCATGTGGAAACAGAAACATACATATCGCTGGCTGCAAACTGGAAACTTCATTTGATAGAAATGATGGAAATGACGAAAATGACGAAGATGATGATGATGATGATGATGATGATGATGGGCTTCAAGACATAGATAGTGTTAGTAGTTACAAAAACATACGGACATGATCTTGTATTGAACATCCATCAAAGATCAAGAATTAACAGAGTTACCTCCCCTGACTTTCGCAACCAATGCCTTGATCAACAACACAAAACCTTCACATGGGGCACAAAGGGATCTCTGCTGGCAACATGACAGTAGCTGTATAGACATATACAAAAATGTGCACTTCAACACATGTCCTGTTATGTGAGCTATTGCCATGCAATCTGGGCCAAAAACTTGAGAATCTACTAACCCGAACTTGGCCTTTAGCTTCATTTTCAGTGTTATAATATGGACTATTGCAGCCTTCAATTTCAGTCTGCTAGCCCAAGACTACTTAATTGTGCTCCAGCCAAGTAAAAATTCACTGAGTCCCCACTGATCCAGTTCTAAATAAATACTTCAACTTTGCTACAAATTACAACTGAAGAAAACTGACAGAAAATGTAAACATAGTAAACAATTTTGTATTGGTCAGGTAGGACCAGAACTCTGGACTTGTCTAAATAAATATGTACTTTTTCGCTGAGCTTGCAAGACAGGGCAGAACAAAATGGGGCTTCAGAGTAGTGGGATGTATCTCTACACATGAACACCCTTAGCTCTATCTTATACAGTAAACTACGTTAATAACGAACACACTTATAACGAACTGACCGATATAACAAACCTATTTTCTAGTCCCGGACATTTGTTGTACATATGCTGTATATATGCTTATAACAAACTACGGTTATTACGAACTAAAATTAGTGGTCCCTTTGAGTTCGTTGTAACAGTAGTTTACTTACTTAGGTTGTGAAATGGCAATAATAAAGAGAATAAAGGGAGGTAACTCCTACACTCTACAATAACAGAGCATCCATGTTCAGGGCCAGCTTCTCAAGCTGTCGTTGACACAATGTAGGGTCAGACTTCACGGACAGTCCTCACAGCAGGCAGAGGCAGAGGCAGACCTCTGATGGACAAGAGTGGCAGTTAGTGTATGGAGGAGATCTGCATCAACAGAACAATTCTGAGTCAATAACTGCCTCCTGCAAAAGGAGCTCATTTTAAACAGAGCTCATTCTAAACAGGTCTCACTTTGAGTAACACTAAAACTTCAAGAAATTTCAAACATATCACCACTAGAAAGATTTCCATACAATTTCTGGCAAAACTGATCTGACAAGAGGTTTCCTGTGAGAATATATCCATGAGTTCTGAAATTCAATTAACTTCTGAGACAACAACTTATTTCCAAACATAACAAAAATTTAACTCATTTAAGACCCTTACCACCTCACAAAATTGATAAAGGAAATATAGTGCAGAGGAAGCTAGAGTATTGATTCAGAATCATTAGTGTCAGGTCTGAAAAACAAGGACATCACCGAGATAGATGTACATAGACATAGCTAGCACATGTCTGAGAGGGACATACAGCTAGAACATAAAGATACACCAAGATATGACAAACATACTGGATCTACATAACATGGTCTAATGATATTGTCCAACACATCATGCTATAGCCATGGATATTCTCAACTCTAATCTCTCATCTAGATTTGGTCATACATTCATTACACACATCTGAGATGTCTGTACAGTTTTTGCTTCCACTGAAATCATTATTAACTGAATTCGGATTAACGAATCATGGTTATAGAGAAATGCCATGCTGTATACGTGTAAGCGGTCCATGCAGTAATCGTCCATAAAATGGGTGTCCACATTCACAGTGTCCCTACTGACAAGGGTTCTCTCCTGTAACCTGATCTTGTGCAGATTTCGGTTGACTGCAAAGCATGTGTACTGTCAACTGGGTGCCGACAGATAATTCCAAATCATTTCATGTTTTTAATAAAGGTGCTCAAATGATTAGATGCACTTTGCAAGGTAAGACCCGTTCTATTACAATAAAGATCTTGATTATCAATCTTGACTCAGCACCACCATTTTGTTTGAAGCTAATGCAAATGATATGAGAGGTGGAATCTGATTGGTCAATAGGAGGTACATAGAAGGGACATAACTTGTAATAGCCACTGGTGGCGCTACAATCAAGCCATGAAATTCAAGCCTAGTTTCGGCAAGGTCTGAAACTGGACTTTTGTAGTCAGTGGTCACCTTTGCCTCAGGAAGGTGTGACCTGGTATACACACAGAAGCATTACATACATGCAGTCCAAACTGCACATCGGCCAGATCAAGTTTCTGTTAATTCTAAATAAGATATTCTTTGGGTATATTTGGTTTAACACTGCTCTCTCGACATAATATTTCAGTAATATGACAGCAGCATGTAAATATTCAAATCAGACAATCCTGTAGTTGATATTGTGAGCAATGATCCACGTCTTAAGGTACATGCAATCAACCAAATGACATGGTCTGACCACCCAATCCATTTGGTCACCTCTTTCCGGGGACCATTCAACCAAGAATCCCTACACCGTTAATCTAAATAGGACAGTATTTTTACGTACATAATTATGTTATGTGACCTATTACTAGAGAGAGAGAGATCAGAGTTGTAGAAATTTAATGACTATATCACAGTAAAATACAGGAATATTGCATCAAGACGATACAAAGCAAGCAGCTATCTGAGAACTGTCGATATCAGGCAAGATGGACAAGATCTGCAAGTTACCCAAATATGTCTCCAGGTTCCCGGCTGAGAATCAAGACATTTTAGCCGTTAGCAACAAAAACAAGCTGACATAACCACAGCAAGAAACAACAACAGTAATAGTCCATTACTTGTCTTCAAGAGTTATGTCTTGTAACTACAGTGTATACAGTGACTCATTCAGTTTTGAACTATCAGTAATTTCCGCTTTCGGAAACAGAATGTATCTGATACCACTGACGACGACAGGTCACTGCTCCTGGATACTGAACCTGTTCCTAAATTACTTTTTATTTGAGAAACAAATGTGTAGACATAAATAAAATATCAAACAGTCAATCATTTGATTCAAATAATAAAATATGATTTTGCCCAAAGAGGTAAAATATATGACAACATGAACCTGAAACAAAAGGGGTGAAAATCAACCGAAGAAAAACAAACACAAATAAGCATAGTAACCATGGTAACAAACATGGATCAGGATGGCAAAACTAAACTGTCACCAAAAGTGTACTCAGATGTAAAAAATGTCAGACTTTACAACATGAAAAATTTTAAGACGAATGTTTTGATTTGCCAAAAGTCATATTATATAAAATACATCGATAGAACTTATAACGACAAATGTAAAGCAACACCAACCTATCACACACAGGGAAATACACAGTCAAATATACACAGTCAAATATACACAACCAAACCTACAACTAATGCCCCTGACTGAGTCTAAGTGCTGCCTACCTGTCATGACACACAACTCATGCCCCTAAGTGCTGCCTACCTGTCATGACACACAACTAATGCCCCTGACTGTGTCTATGTGCTGCCTACCTGTCAAGACACACAACTGGTGCCCCTGACTGTGTCTATGTGCTGCCTACCTGTCAAGACACACAACTAGTGCCCCTGACTGTGTCTATGTGCTGCCTACCTGTCATGACAGCCAACTAACGCCCCTGACTTTGTCTAAGTGCTGCCTACCTGTCAAGACACACAACTCATGCCCCTAAGTGCTGCCTACCTGTCATGACACACAACTAATGCCCCTGACTGTGTCTAAATGCTGCCTACCTGTCATGACACACAACTAATGCTCCTGACTGTGTCTAAGTGCTGCCTACCTGTTATGACACACAACTAACGCCCCTAAGTACTGCCTACCTGTTATGACAGCCAACAAACGCCCCTGACTGCGTCTAAGTGCTGCCTACCTGTCATGACAGCCAACTAACGCCCCTAAGTGCTGCCTACCTGTCATGACAGCCAACTAACGCCCCTAAGTGCTGCCTACCTGTCAAGACACACAACTAATGCCCCTAAGTGCTGCCTACCTGTCAAGACACACAACTAATGCCCCTAAGTGCTGCCTACCTGTCAAGACACACAACTAATGCCCCTAAGTGCTGCCTACCTGTCATGACACACAACTAACGCCCCTAAGTGCTGCCTACCTGTCATGACACACAACTAATGCCCCTGACTGTGTCTAAATGCTGCCTACCTGTCATGACACACAACTCATGCCCCTTAGTGCTGCCTACCTGTCATGACACACAACTAATGCCCCTGACTGTGTCTAAATGCTGCCTACCTGTCATGACACACAACTAATGCCCCTGACTGTGTCTAAATGCTGCCTACCTGTCATGACTGACGCCTGCTGCATGCCACCACTGGCGATGTGGATCAGTGACTTGGCCACACGGGACACATTCTTCGTGCATGACTGCAGCAGCTCTATGACCTGAGGATGAGGCATCACAGAATCAGTGGAAGATCAGCATGAATCTCAGCACAGAAACCCTCAGAATTGTACCATCACTAAAAGCTTGATTCCCCTTGTCTCCCAATGAATTGCAGTACTCAAGTTAGCTCTCACAACCTTAGCAGTACGACTTTGTAAGTTGTTAAGGTATGAGAGTTATGATCACCTTAGCGTTAAGATCGCTTTGTACAACGGCACCCTGATAATTAATCATATAAGCAGTTCTACTAAGAACAATGGACATCACATTCAACACCTTTCATCTGAGTGAGTAATTTGCCAAAAGTTCAGACTGTAAAATAATTTGTATGAGAAAGTGAAACAAGTTGTTCCATCCATACACTACCTCTTTTCCAAACATGAGCGGCGTGATGATGGCTGAGCCTTCCTGTGGGAGTCGTCGCTTGATCTAAAATGCATAAGACCAATTTTTGTATTTTATTAATCATAAAGAATAGAAGTATTATACGGTAGTCCCAGCCCTACACTGATGATTGTTTACTATGACATAGCATAATGCAAGATACTGCTGAAGAATTTTTGTATTTTATTAATCATAAAGAATAGAAGTATTATACGGTAGTCCCAGCCCTACACTGATGATTGTTTACTATGACATAGCATAATGCAAGATACTGCTGAAGAATTTTTGTATTTTATTAATCATAAAGAATAGAAGTATTATACGGTAGTCCCAGCCCTACACTGATGATTGTTTACTATGACATAGCATAATGCAAGATACTGCTGAAGAATTTTTGTATTTTATTAATCATAAAGAATAGAAGTATTATACGGTAGTCCCAGCCCTACACTGATGATTGTTTACTATGACATAGCATAATGCAAGATACTGCTGAAGAATTTTTGTATTTTATTAATCATAAAGAATAGAAGTATTATACGGTAGTCCCAGCCCTACACTGATGATTGTTTACTATGACATAGCATAATGCAAGATACTGCTGAAGAATTTTTGTATTTTATTAATCATAAAGAATAGAAGTATTATACGGTAGTCCCAGCCCTACACTGATGATTGTTTACTATGAGACAGCATAATGCAAGATACTGCTGAAGAATGGCCTGAGACTATGAAAAGGCCATCTCTTATCAATGTTTATATACACATTTTTCAAAATTAATTTTCATTTTTGAGGACTTAGGAGTTTGTATCTCTTTCCCCTATGCTTTGGCTGTTATGAATCCCAACTCCGACCCCAGTAATCAGAAGCTGGTGCTGCACATACCTTCCTGGCACACATGCGTGCATCATTGTTGCATGTCTCCAAGTCACGCAGTAGGATGGAGAACTCACTCTGCTCCTGTCCTGGCTGAAACACCACAAACACAATCAGCACTCCAGACAAGAGGCCACCTTTTTACAACTATTTAAGTCTCCGTAATGGATGGATCCTACATCGATAAATGCTAAAAGCAAACAAATTTAAGATTTCTTTTAATCAAAAGCACTTGTCTTCCAGGATCTTTGTAAAGATGACCCCAACAGAAGTACTATACATACAGGTGCAACATGTACAGCTGTGATTGGCTGCCCCAGTGGGGTTATGCATAAGAGCCTGAGTACTAACTGACAAGAGGTGCGTTACCATGAGGAGTATCTTCAGGCGGATGGTGTCGGTGGTGATGCAGTCACAGGCACTGAGCACCTGCTTCACCTGGTCCGACAGCAGCGTCGTACAGTCCATCTTCTCATTCACCAGGTGCACACTGTACAGTTGCTGCAGACAAAATGTGTGTACATGTACAATTGATGCAAACATAACACAGGACTCTCATTCTCAGACACCATTTTCCTGAGCAAGTCACCTGTACTCACACTCAAGTTAATGAACGCCAACACTCCTGGACTCTCAGACACCCATGTTCCTCAACACATCACAGACTTACCTGGAACGCCAACACTCCTGGAGTCTCAAACACCCATGTTCCTCAACACTCACAGACTTACCAGGAACACCAACACTCCTGGACTCTCAGACACCCATGTTACTCAACACTCACAGACTTACCAGGAACACCAACACTCCTGGACTCTCAGACACCCATGTTCCTCTACACTCACAGACTTACCAGGAACGCCAACACTCCTGGACTCTCAGACACCCATGTTCCTCTACACTCACAGACTTACCAGGAACACCAACACTTCTGGACTCTCAGACACCCATGTTCCTCAACACACACAGACTTACCAGGAACACCAACACTCCTGGACTCTCAGACACCCATGTTCGTCAACACTTACAGACTTACCGGGAACGCCAACACCCCTGGACTCTCAGACACCCAGGTTCCTCAACACTCACAGACTTGCCAGGAACGCCAACACTCCTGGACTCTCAGACACCCATGTTCCTCAACACTCACAGACTTGCCAGGAACGCCAGCACTCCTGGACTCTCAGACACCCATGTTCGTCAACACTTTCAGACTTACCTGGAAGAAGTTGATGGACTTCTCCAGCAGCTCCAGGGAAATGGTCTCGTCCAGCTAACAAAACAGAGAGGTTACAGGTCAGTCAAAAGGTACAGATAATCACATTTACAACAATACATCTCAACATGGTTTTCCCCCTTAATCTAACCCTGAGTGTATTTTAAATCTTAGCTTCAACAACAATTAGTTCATTCAATGTTATTTCCAATGAGACCATTCACAATTGAGCTAGTACCTATCTGATCCTAGGAACACCCCACTGATTGGAGAAATAAACCACTGATCCCAGAAATACACCACTGATCCCTGAAATACATCACTGATTCCTGAAATACATCACTGATCCCAGAATACACCACTGATCCCAGAAATACACCACTGATCCCAGAAATACACCATTGATCCCAGAAATACACCACTGATCCCAGAAATACACAACTGATCCCTGAAATACACCACTGATCCCAGAAATACACCACTGATCCCTGAAATACACCACTGATCCCTGAAATACACCACTGATCCTAGAAATACACCACTGATCCCAGAAATACACCACTGATCCCAGAAATACACCACTGATCCCCAAAATACACCACTGATCCCAGAAATACACCACTGATCCAAGAAATATACCACTGATCCCCAAAATACACCACTGATCCCAGAAATACACCACTGATCCCCAAAATACACCACTGATCCCAGAAATACACCACTGATCCAAGAATTACACCACTGATCCCTGAAATACACCACTGATCCAAGAAATACACCACTGGTCCCAGAAATACACCACTGATCCCAGAAATACACCACTGATCCAAGAATTACACCACTGATCCCCCAAATACACCACTGATCCCAGAAATACACAACTGGTCCCTGAAATACACCACTGATCCCTGAAATACACCACTGATCCCAGAAATACACCACTGATCCCAGAAATATGTCACTGATCCAAGAATTACACCACTGATCCCCAAAATACACCACTGATCCAAGAAATACACCACTGATCCCTGAAATACACCACTGATTCCTGAAATACACCACTGATCCCAGAAATACACCACTGGTCCCTGAAATAAAACCGATCCCAGAAATACACCACTGGTCCCTGAAATAAACCACTGATCCCTGAAATACACCACAGATCCCTGAAATACACCACTGATCCCAGAAATACACCACTGATCCCTGAAATACACCACTGATCCCTGAAATACACCACTGATCCCAGAAATACATCACTGATCCCCAGAATACACCACTGATCCAAGAATTACACCACTGATCCCTGAAATACACCACTGATCCCAGAAATACACCACTGATCCCCAGAATACACCACTGATCCCAGAAATACACCACTGATCCAAGAATTACACCACTGATCCCTGAAATACACCACTGATCCCGGAAATACACCACTGATCCCGGAAATACACCACTGTTCCCCAAAATACACCACTGATCCCAGAAATACACCACTGATCCCAGAAATACACCGCTGATCCAAGAAATACATCACTGATCCCAAAATTACCCTAACGACGGAACTAGTAATACTAAGCTGATTCCCTGATTTTGAATTTTGGGTATATGAACATCCTCAACAATCTAAGTCTGACTGCATCCCAGCCCAAGTGGGAGACATACCTGGTCCTTCCTCAGCAAGTCAATAAAGTAGTCGACCGCCTTCTCATGTGCCATCATCTCAGGCAGCAGTGTTCCGATCTTGGTGAACAGCTCTGTGCTACAGCTGCTCAGAGCACTGCAAACACACAAAGACATCGGTCAACTAAATTGTAAATTCAGAGCATTTCGGGAAGATTTTGGATATGGATAGTATGACAAACATAGTTGACCATACACAAAGGCTGTAAATTAATATAAATAAAAGTGACAAAACCCTTTCCACAGCCAGAAGAAATCTCTGATAAAAGCAGAATTGATTTTTCCATCCTGACTGTATCACGTGTTTATGAATCACTATCAAAAAGTGACCATACCAGGTGTTTGCGAAAAGGTAAGCGTATCCTGCCCTAACGGTCACAAACACATGTAAAGGAAAGTCAACTCACTTCCACTAAGGTTTCTTTGCGTACTTTGTCTCTGGGATGACATTGATCATCGTATTACCATGGTATTTCATTGGTAATATACATGCATTACTAAAGCTTTCTCAACGTACCTCTCATACTGTCTCATGTTGCCCTGCAAGGTGTTCAACATCAACACCAGCTCATGGGCGAAGCTGTTCTGTTCCGCCTTGTGGCTCTTCAACACATCATCTCGGGTGATGGCGTCAACAATTTCAAACTGAAACCACAAACTTGCTAATCAGTCTCTACAGTTTTGGTCCCACTTGCACAAAGCGATCTTAGCACTAAGATGATCATAACTCCCACACTTTAACATAGGCTTATGATAGTCTTAGCGCTAAGATCGCTTTGTGCAAGTGGGTCCAGGTGTAACAGACAACAAAACAGAACACTGCAGGCTCTTAAAAGGATTTATCACAGCTGCCACTACTCATACACAATCATCAACTGGTGCAGCTTTTCAATATATAGGTACAAAACGCATTTCACACAAAAATGGTGCATCAGGATACGAATGAAGCAATGTATCATGTGTATCGTAAATCATATGTATCATATTTCATGTGTATCATAATCACGTCACATTGTGTATCGTATTACAGTGCATTATATCTCATTTATATTGTATATCATGTGTATCGCATATCTTGTGTATCATATATCGTGTATTCTATATCATGTGTACAGTGTATTATATATCATGTGTATCATATATCTCGTTAATCATGTGTATCATATTTCATGTATATTGTATATCATGTGTCATATATCAAGTGTATTGAGTGTATCAAGCATATTGTGTATCATGTGTATATCATATATCTTCATGATCATGTGTTTTGTATATCATGTATATAAAATGTATTAGGTGTATCGTATATCATGCATATCTTGACGTATACATACCTTGTCTTTCACCTGCGACGCCAGTAGTTCTGTCTTGTTGATGACCCGCGGCACCATGAGGAGGACATTGACTGCATCATGATCCCCTGCAACAAGACGACGTTCACATACCAGATCAACTTAGATTCACATACCATATCAGCTGAGATTCACATACCAGATCAGGGGAGATTCACATACCAGATCAGCTGAGATTCACATACCATATCAGGGGAGGTTCACATACTAGATCATGGGAGATTCACATACCAGATGAAGGAAGATTCACATACCAGATCATGGGAGATTCACATACCAGATCATGGGAGATTCACATACCAGTTCAGCTGAGATTCACATACCAGTTCAGCTGAGATTCACATACCAGATCATGGAAGATTCACATACGATATCAGGGGAGATTCACATACCAGATCAGCTGAGATTCACATACCAGATCATGGGAGATTCACATACCATGTCAGGAGAGGTTCACATAACATATCAGGGGATGTTAACATACCAGATTATTGGAGATTCACATACCAGATCAGGGGAGATTCACATACCAGATCAAGGAAGATTCACATACCAGATCAAGGAAGATTCACATACCAGATCAAGGAAGAATTACATACCAGTTCAGCTGAGATTCACATACCAGATCATGGGAGATTCACATACCAGATCAGGTGAGGTTCACATACCAGATGAAGGAAGATTCACATACGATATCAGGGGAGATTCACATACCAGATCAGCTGAGATTCACATACCAGATCATGGGAGATTCACAAACCATGTCAGGAGAGGTTCACATAACATATCAGGGGATGTTAACATACCAGATTATTGGAGATTCACATACCAGATCAGGGGAGATTCACATACCAGATCAAGGAAGATTCACATACCAGATCAAGGAAGATTCACATACCAGATTAAGGAAGATTCACATACCAGATCAAGGAAGAATTACATACCAGTTCAGCTGAGATTCACATACCAGATCATGGGAGATTCACATACCAGATCAGGTGAGATTCACATACCAGATGAAGGAAGATTCACATACCATATCAGGGGAGATTCACATACCAGATCTGCTGAGATTCACATACCAGATCAGCTAAGATTCACATACCAGATCATGGGAGATTCACATACCATGTCAGGAGAGGTTCACATAACATATCAGGGGATGTTAACATACCAGATTATTGGAGATTCACATACCAGATCAGGGGAGATTTACATACCAGATCAGGGGAGATTCACATACCAGATCAGGGGAGATTCACATACCAGATCAGTGGAGATTCACATACCAGATCATTGGAGATTCACATACCAGATCATGGGAGATTTACATACCAGATCAGTGGAGATTCACATACCAGATCATGGGAGATTTACATACCATGTCAGCGGAGGTTCACATTCCAGATCAGGGGAGATTCACATAACAGATCAGTGGAGATTTGCATACCAGATCAGGGGAGATTCACAAACCACTGAGGATTACATGATGACCATGTTGTACCCACCTCCTCTGTTGATGAAGGAGTCGGGCATGAAGGACAGGAGCATCTGGACATGGGAGTTGGCCTGCTGTACCTCCAGCTTCCTCAACTCCATGTCAATAGTCTACAACATCAACGACAGAGACAGCGTCATATATCAGATCCATATCTCCAACAGTATCAGCTGATATGCAGAGGCAAAACCACACGCAAATGTTTAATGATCACAAAAAAATAAATGAAAAATAAGCCACCGCCTACTTAAATGGATCTTTCCTGAAGAATGAAATTCTTTCAAGAATAACTTGAATCTCAAGAGCCTCGAAATTTCACAGTGAAAAGAGACTAAGGAATGTACTTCTCATTACTGACATATGTAATAGGATGAAATATCTACATAATATGAACTTCAGATATATCAGACAGGATTATATGTAGCAAAATGCTATTTTGTTATTTTCAGAGCCACTCTAAAGCTGAAAGCTGAAGATATACATGATATACAGTGCTCGAAATGAAGGGGGTCGTGGGGTCACTGAGGTGTGCTTCTATAACAAGCACAGTATTTGAATCTCAGAACCTCCTAGAATCTTTCTAACATGAGTCCTACACCATATACCCCTAGAATTGTGGATTTAGCTTTCGAACACTGTATATACCAGCAATTAGTTACCAGACTTAAATCACACAGTTTTGCATCATCATCACCATGGATAACCATGATAACATTCGTCCAACACAAGAAACCTATATTTCTTTACCTGTCAAGACATCTTCCAACACACCAGCAGTTACTTGTCTTGTAGAACACCTATCATGTTGCATTCCCCTATCTGCGTATACATGCAGTTACCTCACTTACAAGTCACAGCTATGTGACACCACAACAAACACGGGAAAATGTCCTCCCACTTGAAACCAATATCACACAACCTGGCACTAACTAGGCATGTGTGCATTAAGTAACAGCACACTGTAAAACAGGTGACAGTCAAACAACTGACAGATTATATACGAGCGATGAGAAATCTCCAAGGGAGACAATTTGCCAGGGGAGACAATCTGCAAGGTAAACAATCTGCAAGGGAGAGAGAGAAGAACAGTGGGAAGCCCCCAAGCTGATAAACATAACACAGCTAATCCCCGAGCCAAAATTACAAAACAAAGGATGTTACATTAGATAAATAAAAACTAAAAGTATTTTTCTTTATGGTCAAAACCGTAGAGCAAGATCTGAGTGGGCTCTCGAACGCCTTCATCCGACACAGACTGCCATGTCAGATCAAGGTGTTACCCCAATTCTGTGTTGACCTCTCTTAAGGTGTAAATGTTTGCATAAATATAGCAAGACTATCTTCCTGAGGCAAGTGAGTTAACTGTCTATAAAAGTCCAGTTTCGACCCTTGCCGAACTAGGCTGGTATTATGGAGTTACAGTTTGGCTGGACTAACGAGTCTCTGCATAGTCCAATCAAAATCGCACACAGATATCGAAAGTGTCATGCAGATTTCAGTCGACTGCAGGGTTTGCAAAGCATGTGCACCGCTAACCTGTTGTCAACAGATATTTTCTAAATCTTTTCATGTTTTTTAATCAAGGTGCACTTCGCGATGTAAGACTCGTTTTATCACAATATAGATCTTGATTATCGATCAGATCGTCTTGACTGGGCGCCACCGTTTTGTTTGTAGCAAATGCAAGTGATACGAGAGGTTGAATCTGATTGGTCAATAGGAGAGACATAGAAAGGACATAACTCGTAATAGCCACTGGTGGCGCTACGATCGAACCCAGTAATTCCAGCCAAGTTCGGCAAGGGTGGAAACTGGACTTCTAAAGTCAGTTAACTCTCTTGCCTCGGGAAGATGCAAGACTATAGGCTCAGTTGCTTGGTATCAGTTTTCACGTATATACATGTAACATCAATAACGGAACTGAAACAGGGGAGAGAGCCGCAGACAGCTGAACAACCATTGCCGTGACAAGCTGTTACCTTCTGGTAGGACAATAGGTCCCGTTTGGTGCTCATCCTGGCCATGTCATCCTACAGCCATACATGTACAAACATACATCAGTGTGCATATCGGCAGAGTACAGTGACACAGACACATCAATACACTTCACTATACATACATGCAGTTTGCGAATGTTTAATCAAGGGTGGAAAACATTTCTTACATCAATGACTCTAAAACTAAGGTCTGACATAAAGATATGTACTACTCATTTCGGATAGAGATCGATAATATCTTACTAAATATCGACACATAACCAGTAAGTATCAGAGAAGTGACTTTGAGCAAATATGCAAAAAAGTCTGAAAGAAATCAACATAATTCATGCCAATGGTGAGTGTTGACACCTTTATCCATGAATTATTTTGTGGACATCTAATACGAAAAAAATTTAATACAAAAACAGTCATTTTCCGTCTTTGGTAGTTGACATGATTGACAATAACAAGTCTGTTTCGGTAAATTTAAACTGTATTTCATCATAATTTTTGTTTATGTAAGATATTATCGATGACACAATTTTCATATTGATAATCATTAATATTTCATCCAATCGACCATGATTCCAATAATTGATCTTTTCAGCCAGCCTGCCACTCCTAAAGAGTTAAAGATCATCCAATTCTTTCATATTACTGTAGTAATCTAACTATAGTACTTTGGAAAAGAATCGGGTGATCCACAACATTTTTAGTAGCATATACCTTCATATGTCTGACCTTTTTGCCTTCTTTCATATAATACTAAAAAAGTTCAACAGTGTAAGATATTTCTTTTTGTGACTCAAAGTTTTGAATCAAAGGGAAACAGGATTTTGGCAAGTATGGACCAAACACATAAACTTTGCCTTAAGAATAACAGTGTGTCGGTTTATGTATTTATCATCAGACAGAACACTGCCTTGACCTAAGTGGTTCAAAGCACACAATAAATACACATTGCCAGTAACACGTTTAACTGACTAGATGTAACAAAAAACTCAAGTGGCTTAAAACTATTTTCCCACCCCTGTTAATCGCTGTGCAGGCTAGTTAGCACACCAATACAAAGTGCATCATGCTACATGTAAACAACATAACAACACTTTCCACACTCTTTAAGACTGAGTTCTAATTCTATCAAAGTCATAACCTAAAACAATGATTATCAAACCTAAATATTCAGACATTACATGACAATCAGATAATAGAGCCTTATCAGACACTGTCAGAAACGTGTGATTGTTTCAAGTCTGATAGGGGTGACTTTTTGACTGGAAATCACTATTGCAATAACTATTGATATTCAAAGAAACTATTGCGATAAATATTGATAGTTTTCAGTGTATCATTTTAGATGGATTTTAGAGTTGAATTAAACCTTGGAACTGAAGTTTCCTTTGAATGTGATAACCATAACAACAAATAAAAAGTAAAGTTTGAGATATTACTGATTTGTTCTTTCTTTACCCTAATAATTTAAGAAAAAGAAACTTCCACAATACCATGTGTAAATTACTACCACTCATGATCAAAAGAAAAACAAATTTGAACAGCATTGCATGTACAATGATCGGAAACTGATTTAACAATCAATTTATTCACTTTAAATGCTTACCAATAGCAATATATTGATATTTCGATTTATCGTAACACCCCTTAAGTCAGACATATCAATACAAACACAAAAAGATTTATTTACAAAATATTTGTTCAAGTGAAATCAGTTCTATGCAGCTTGACTACATTTACCACTGTGTATGTACATACAAACATTTTAAGTAATTCTGTAACACTTAGAGTAAAGTTGGTATAGTATCAGGCATCAAGTAAAGACAGAACATAAGTGGTAGTGGGAGTGAGTGAAAATTGAACGCCACATTGGCAATATCTCAGCTATATAGCAACTAGTAGTTGGTTGGTTGATTTGTTGTTTAACACCGCACTCAGCAATATTCCAGCTATATGACTGCGGTCTGTAAATAATGGAGTCTGGACCAGACAATCCAGGAATTGACATCATGAGCATCGATCCACACAATTGGGACTGATGACATGTATCAACCAAGTCAGCGAGCCTGACCACTCGATCCCGTTAGTCGCCTCTTTCGACAAGCATAGTGGCCTAGCAACTAGTACAGGAAGATATGACATGGTTTCTGTTTCTGTAGTCCTTCAGACACAAGGTCAGAGCTCAGTCTAACATGCAATGAAAACTACAGTACAACAGTCAACAACAGCATGGACAACTACACCGACAGGGAAGTACACACTACATAGCACCCATGCTGTGTGCTCAGTTGGGTTCAACACAGGTTAGCCTACCTTAGCATAAGCCTTCGATTCAGCAAACTTGGCCTTGAAGTCGAACATCTCGATGGCAGGTGTTTCTGCTTTGTGTTCCGACTCCTGCTGTTTGCTGCGTAACTCTCGGTTCGCATCCTGTAACCATGGAAACAGGGAAATTTAACTCATCTTGTTTTCACATCGTTATTGGCCGAATGAGTATCAATACCAAAAATGCAAACCAACATGAAAGAAACAAATTTGATCCCCGTAAGCTGGAGTTTTAATGATCCAATTGTGAAGAGAACTTTACACGTTGTTTGTTTGAGACTCACGTACCTGCAACTGAGACACCAAGTCCCGGAACTTGCTGATGGTGGCCTCGTAGTCAGCCATTGTTTCCTGGGTGGCATCTAGTTTCCTTTGTGTCTACAACAACACAACTCAAGCGATAGCTGACACTCATTCATGAATACATGTAAGAAACAAATAACTTTGAAACAAACCATTTCATTCACCTAAATTGGATAACTAGCTGATGAAATGCGTACAAAAGCCTCAGTGTAACATTTCATCACCACGAGGGCAACCTCTTAGACCTTTCTCATTTCTTCCATTAAAACAAGATGACCTTGACCTCACCTCTGTGACCTTGGCCTGTGTAAGGTCAAGCTCTTCCCTCAGCTCCAGCTCCGTCTCCCTGGTGTTCTCCTGCAGCTCCTCATTCATCTCATGCAGCGCCTCCTGCAACACCAAACAGTCATGAGCATGACATCCCACCACAAGAAACACCACATGACATCTCCCGTCTCAAGCAGCGCCTTCTCTGACACAGTCGTCAGGCATCATGAAATAGCATGACACAGCATACCACATGACATACAAGAAGACAAACGAAGGATGATCACATGACATCTCCCATCTCAAGCAGCGCCTTCTCTGACACAGTCGTCAGGCATCATGAAATAGCATGACACAGCATACCACATGACATACAAGAAGACAAACGAAGGATGATCACATGACATCTCCCATCTCAAGCAGCGCCTTCTCTGACACAGTCGTCAGGCATCATGAAATAGCATGACACAGCATACCACATGACATACAAGAAGACAAACGAAGGATGATCACATGACATCTCCCATCTCAAGCAGCGCCTTCTCTGACACAGTCGTCAGGCATCATGAAATAGCATGACACAGCATACCACATGACATACAAGAAGACAAACGAAGGATGATCACATGACATCTCCCATCTCAAGCAGCGCCTTCTCTGACACAGTCGTCAGGCATCATGAAATAGCATGACACAGCATAGCACATGATATACAACACGACAAATGAAGGATGATCACATGACATCTACAAGATATCATCACATGACATAACACAGGTTGATATCTACCAGATATCATCACATGACATAGCACATGTTGATATCTACCACATATGATCACATGACATAACACAGGTTGATATCTACCAGATATCATCACATGACATAGCACATGTTGATATCTACCACATATGATCACATGACATAACACAGGTTGATATCTACCAGATATCATCACATGACATAGCACATGTTGATATCTACCACATATGATCACATGACATAACACAGGTTGATATCTACCAGATATCATCACATGACATAGCACATGTTGATATCTACCACATATGATCACATGACATAACACAGGTTGATATCTACCAGATATCATCACATGACATAGCACAGGTTGATATCTACCAGATATCATCACATGACATAGCACATGTTGATATCTACCACATATGATCACATGACATAACACAGGTTGATATCTACCAGATATCATCATATGACATAGCACATGTTGATATCTACCACATATGATCACATGACATAACACAGGTTGATATCTACCAGATATCATCATATGACATAGCACATGTTGATATCTACCAGATATCATCACATGACATATCACATGTTGATATCTACCAGATATCATCACATGACATAGCACATGTTGATATCTACCACATATGATCACATGACATATCACATGTTGATATCTACCAGATATCATCACATGACACAGCACATGTTGATATCTACCAAATATCATAACACGAAAAAAACACATGTTGATATCTACCAGATATCATCACATGACATATCACAGGTTAATATCTACCACATATGATTGCATGACATATTTACCCAAGATGTTCAGATGACATAGCACAGTTGATATCTACCGAATACGATCAAATGTCATACCAGATCAGCATTTTCCTCGAGGAGCTGCTGGATCTTCTCCTCCTGTTCAAGATTCCTATCCGTCAGTTTCTCCACCATCTCCTCGGCTCCAAGTGCTGCATCCACCTGTAACCACGGACACCAGAGTTACTGGTCAGTGTGTCAAATAATGCCCCCGTCTTGTTGACTATACACCATCAGTGAGAATTTAACCAATCTTACACCCATTAGTGCAAACGTCACAACCCACATGGACAAAAACAACTCTACATACACCACAAGTGAGTGAGTGAGTGAGTTGGGTTTAACGCCGCTTTTAACAGTATTCCAGTTATATCGCGGCGTGTCAGCTTAATGTGGGAGGAAAGCCCGAAGTGATGCAGGTCTCAGACGTTTACCACTTCGGTGAAACCCATGTGCACGGGTATGGTGCTGACAAACCTAGAAACATAATCGGGGCGAACCGGGATTCGAACCCACAATCATAGGTTTCTGGCGTGTCCAGGGACGCAACTCTGCACAGCGAATCGCGGCGCCTTAAACGACTGGACCACCCGTGCCCCCACATACACCACAAGACCACACATATATTCTACATGAACTAAGAGAGTTATCAGGTTAAATAAATACCGTATTCGACATAATAAGCGCCCCGCTCTAATAAAAGCCCACGGCGATATTTGCTAACATATTGGCTAGTGAACAATCCCAATTAGCACCCCTTCCGATTGATTAATGTACACAAGAGTTATTTACTAGCGTATAATACGCACTCGTTATATGCACACTTAATTATGCGCAATTAAATTCGAGGAAAAATATATCTGTCGTACATAAACACTTAAGGCTGTCAGCATTAACCACGAAATTTATCTTTCAACTCAACTTTTTTCACCAAAATAATATTCTAATTTTGAGAGCGCCCTGGGCGCTTATTACGTTGAATACGGTATTCCTGACTTGCCCCAGCATCTAGTACTGCTTACAGTATCTGACAACCAACCTGTTCCTTGAGTTCAATGAGTTGCCCTAGCATCTAGTACTGCTTACAGTATCTGACAACCAACCTGTTCCTTGAGTTCAATGAGTTGCCCCAGCATCTAGTACTGCTTACAGTATCTGACAACCAACCTGTTCCTTGAGTTCAATGAGTTGCTCCTGCATCTAGTACTGCTTACAGTATCTGACAACCAACCTGTTCCTTGAGTTCAATGAGTTGCCCCAGCATCTAGTACTGCTTACAGTATCTGACAACCAACCTGTTCCTTGAGTTCAATGAGTTGCCCCAGCATCTAGTACTGCTTACAGTATCTGACAACCAACCTGTTCCTTGAGTTCAATGAGTTGCCCCAGCATCTAGTACTGCTTACAGTATCTGACAACCAACCTGTTCCTTGAGTTCAATGAGTTGCCCCAGCATCTAGTACTGCTTATAGTATCTGACAACCAACCTGTTCCTTGAGTTCAATGAGTTGCTCCTGCATCTCTGAGGCCTCAGACTGGAAGCGTTCTTTGTCCTTCCGCAGGTTGATGATCTCCGACGTCTGTTTCTCACTCTGCTTACTCAGCTTCTGGGAATCATGCTTCTCCTGATTGGACAAGTCTCGCATCCTGGAAACAAATGGTGGAGGCACTTACAGATCTGCTCAACTTGGTCATATGGACAAGGCTGTATGTTAAAGCAGTTGTTCCCAAAAAGCATGAATGGATGCAGGATAAAAAAAATCCGCCAGAGCGGAGGGCGTCGACTGGGGAGGAGGACCTGCAGGTGCACGTGTCTGCGTAGAGGAGTTCACTGGAGTCGTCGGAGGAGGCGAGAGGAACGATGGCGCAGCAAATGTCAGCAACAGAGGTGGAGGGCCCGATTTACAAGCTGCTTTCACCTATTAAAGGTCGGTTGGTTTGTTGGTTTGTTGTTTAACGCCACACTCAGCAATATTCCAGCTATATGACGGCGGTCGGTAAATAATCGAGTCTGGACCAGACAATCCCGTGATTGATATCATGAGCATCGGTCTACAAAGTTGGGATCAATGGCATGCATCAACCAAGTCAGCGAGCCTGACCACCCGATCCCGTTAGTCACCTTTTACGGCAAGCATGGGTTGCTGAAGACCTATTCTACCCCGGAATCTTCACGGTTCACCTATTGCAAGGCCTTTTGCAAGAAGAGTATATACATGCCAGAGGAACGATATGCTTGTAGAACACCAACAGAAATAGTCAAGAAATGAAGAATTTGAAGACAAGAACACTGTTCCAATGGAACATATCTGTATATGGCAGACACAGAAGTATACGAAGGAGTGGATAACTCGTGGGTATCGGGGCATGGGCTATCATCTGTTTCAACTGTCGCTCTGTTTCAGTAGTGTGTGTGTGTTTGTATAAGGTAGGGAAGTTAAAGCACTGTGTAGCGTCAAGTAAGGTAAAACACAAATTTTCACACATACACTAAGATGCACCTGTACCCTGATGCCTCTCTACTCTATGAATACAAAGTGTAACGTGCGGCAACTCACTTGACAAGTGCCTCCTTCAGCCTCTCATTCTGCTGCTCCAGCTGTTTCAGCTCGTAGCTGGCGGCCACACCATCTGTGCCTGCAACACAGATCCGCCGTGTCATCATGCTTCAGCTACATATCTAAGTCCATCTAGATTATTCTTTCACAAGTGAACCCTAGATTCACAGGCAAAAGGCTGACACTGACAAATAGTGTCAAGTCCTTAATTGTTAGCATGATTGTTAACTATACGATGTTAGGTGGGATTTTATTGCATATCTTGAAGATAAGGTAGATACTTTCAAATGAGTGCTCATCCTCATAAACCACAAATCATTACTATTGTTGTAATTTTTAGAACACCAGTACTGAGCTTGGCTGACCTTTCTCACTGATCTCTCCTCGAAGCAGTTCAAGGTCAAGGGTGAGTTCCTCAACCTTCTCCTTCATCGAGTCAATCTCCACCTGCAGCGTCTCAGCCTTCTCCTCCGCCATCTCCTTGTCCAGCGTAGCGATCTCAATCGTCTCAGAGACATCCGCCATCTCATCCTTGTATCGCTCAAAGGCCTCTTGAATGTCCTTGACTTCCTGTACAGAGAATTGTGGGCAGAAGAAATAAGAAGCAGGGTGCTTCACAACGCAGAAATCATACATACAAAAGTGTGTGGAATGGATGCAGAGATAAATGTGTTGCATCCAAATGGATGCACAATAATATTCATTTGCACCAACTTCTGGACACAAAACATAAAGGTCCTGTGAGTGAGTGAGTGAGTATGGTTTTACACCGCTTTTAGCAATATTCCAGCAATATCACGGCGGGGGACACCAAAAATGGGATTCACACATTGTACCCATGTCGGGAATCGAACCCGGGTCTTTGGCGTGAAGAGCGAACACTTTAACCACTAGGCTACCCGACCGCCCCTAAAGGTCCTGTGATTAAAGTAATGATTTGATAATCAGAGTATTCAGTTTATTTTACATACCCCCAATTATTATTAGCAAGCGTCCTTACAGGATCATATGATGGTTCTGCCATCTTACCATGTTCACAGTACAGTACACTGTTCAATTTCACTACTTTACAGAACCCTCATATTTCCTGTAAGGATGCTTGATAATAATTATTGGGGTCCCCTGGACCCGTAGTGTTTCAGGTCAAGGTTAAACAGAAAAAAGGCTTGATGAATGAAAAGAGAGATTCTTACACCTAACTTTCTCTGGCTCTACAGCTGCAAGACATGGAACGTGCAGAACAGTTGCTGCCCCCTTCAACAACATCTGAAGCTGAGCACACAGGCCCTGCTTAACAAAACCAATCTCTCACCTTCTTGGATGCCTGCAGTTGCCGCTGAAGGTCAGCTGATGTTTCCTGCATCTTCATCTTGTACTCTTGAAGCTGATGAGGACATAAAACATGGCTGTAACGAATTGTTCAGGAGACATATTGCTCATCCCCTACTACAGTCAGACACAAGGAATCAGCATAACTCTACATACAAGATACAAAACCCACCGATGTATACCACCAATGTATCAATGTGCTTGTGTGTATTTGTGAAGTTCTATTAACATAGTTTGTTTGTTGTTTAACGCTGTACTTAGCAATATTCCAGTAATATGACGGCGGATGTAATAACTGAGTGTGGACCAGACAATCCAGTGATGACATTGTTAGTAATGATCCACGTTGTTCAAGTACAATAACACGCATTCAACCGAGTCACTAAGCCTAACTATCCAACTGCTTCTTACAACCAGCAGAGGTTGCTGGGGGCCTATTTTAACCCAGAATTCCCACAGGGATAATAAGATAGAACTGAACAACAAAAGTATCATCAAAATACAGAGTTGCTGTCCACCTGGTGTGGCTGTATGTAAACTATTATGCTGCCTATAAAATGATGCATAAATTACCCCTTGGCTGAAGCTTTTAATATAAGTGCTAAATCATATAACCCCTCTGTAGCATGAACCTGATTTAGTTGCCTATATACACTCACCTGCTGCAGCTGTATCTGCAGTACAAGTATACACATTCACCTGATAGTTCTAGGCTATAGACCTCCACTGACCTGATAGTTCTAGGCTATAGACCTCCACTGACCTGATAGTTCTAGGCTATAGACCTCCACTGACCTGATGCAGTTCTAGGCTATAGACCTCCACTGACCTGATGCAGTTCTAGGCTATAGACCTCCAATGACCTGATGCAATTGTAGGGTATAGACCTCCACTGACCTGATGCAGTTCTAGGCTATAGACCTCCACTGACCTGATGCAGTTCTGGAGTATAGACCTCCACTGACCTTATGCAGTTCTAGGCTATAGACCTCGACTGACCTGATGCAGTTCTAGGGTATAGACTTCCACTGACCTGATGCAGTTCTGGAGTATAGACCTCCACTGACCTGATGCAGTTCTGAAGTATAGACCTCCACTGACCTGATGCAGTTCTAGGCTATAGACCTCAACTGACCTGATGCTGTTCTAGGGTATAGACCTCCACTGACCTGATGCAGTTCTGGAGTATAGACCTCCACTGACCTGATGCAATTGTAGGGTATAGACCTCCACTGACCTGATGCAGTTCTAGGCTATAGACCTCCACTGACCTGATGCAGTTCTGGAGTATAGGCCTCCACTGACCTGATGCAGTTCTAGGCTATAGACCTCCACTGACCTGATGCAGTTCTGGAGTATAGACCTCCACTGACCTGATGCAGTTCTGAAGTATAGACCTCCACTGACCTGATGCAGTTCTAGGCTATAGACCTCGACTGACCTGATGCAGTTCTGGAGTATAGACCTCCACTGACCTGATGCAGTTCTGGAGTATAGACCTCCACTGACCTGATGCAGTTCTGAAGTATAGACCTCCACTGACCTGATGCAGTTCTGAAGTATAGACCTCCACTGACCTGATGCAGTTCTGCAGTATAGACCTCCACTGACCTGATGCAGTTCTGAAGTATAGACCTCCACTGACCTGATGCAGTTCTAGGCTATAGACCTCCACTGACCTGATGCAGTTCTAGGGAATAGACTTCCACTGACCTGATGCAGTTCTGGAGTATAGGCCTCCACTGACCTGATGCAGTTCTGGAGTATAGACCTCCACTGACCTGATGCAGTTCTAGGCTATAGACCTCCACTGACCTGACGCAGTTCTGGAGTATAGACCTCCACTGACCTGATGCAGTTCTAGGCTATAGACCTCCACTGACCTCATGCAGTTCTGAAGTATAGACCTCCACTGACCTGATGCAGTTCTAGGGTATAGACCTCCACTGACCTGATACAGTTCTGGAGTATAGGCCTCCACTGACCTGATGCAGTTCTGGAGTATAGACCTCCACTGACCTGATGCAGTTCTGAAGTATAGACCTCCACTGACCTGATGCAGTTCTAGGCTATAGACCTCCACTGACCTGATGCAGTTCTGAAGTATAGACCTCCACTGACCTGATGCAGTTCTGGAGTATAGACCTCAACTGACCTGATGCAGTTCTAGGCTATAGACCTCCACTGACCTGATGCAGTTCTGAAGTATAGACCTCCACTGACCTGATGCAGTTCTAGGGTATAGACCTCCACTGACCTGATACAGTTCTAGAGTATAGGCCTCCACTGACCTGATGCAGTTCTGGAGTATAGACCTCCACTGACCTGATGCAATTCTGAAGTATAGACCTCCACTGACCTGATGCAGTTCTAGGGTATAGACCTCCACTGACCTGTCGCAGTTCTAGGCTATAGACCTCCACTGACCTGATGCAGTTCTGGAGTATAGACCTCCACTGACCTGATGCAGTTCTGAAGTATAGACCTCCACTGACCTGATGCAGTTCTGGAGTATAGGCCTCCACTGACCTGATGCAGTTCTGGAGTATAGACCTCCACTGACCTGATGCAGTTCTAGGGTATAGACCTCCACTGACCTGATGCAGTTCTAGGGTATAGACCTCCACTGACCTGCTGCAGCTGTATCTTGGCCTTCTCAAACTCCTTCAGCTTGCCCTTGTCCTCGGTCCTCTTGAAGCGCAGGGTTTCCAGCTTCTCATTGAGGTCCTTCACCTCAGCCTGCAGACCCTCAATCTCCTGCTGCTGCTGCAGGTTGGAGATCTTGTCATCGATTGACGTCGTCATCACACTTAGATCGGGCTTTGAGGGTGACTGTAGGCAGAAAGAGATACCGTTTCAGCACACAAAAGACTGAACACTGTACAACAGTTCCCAGGTTAGAATTAATATCCACAACACATGGCTTTAAGATCCATACAACATGCAGGACTAAAGAGTAAACACTACTGATGTTATTGGTCTGACAAAATGCTATCTCAGATTCTTACATCTAAAAGTGCTTCCCTCACTCACATAAATGACAGCATAATTAAACCGTAACATTCATATATCTTTTGCCCTTTTTCACATTTGCCATGAAAATATGAGGTTCTGTGTTAAGCAATAAAGCAACTACATCTGGTGGAGTGAGTGAGTTGGACTTAATGGCATGGTGTGTCAACTTAATGTGGGAGGAAATCCCAATATAATACAGGTCTCTGACATTTACCAACAAGCACGGGTATGGTGCTGACATAACCGGGGCAAACTGGCGTTTGAACCAACAAACAAAGGTGTCTGGCGTGCCCGAGGGAACCAACTCAGCGAATTGGGACTAGAATACTAATTACCTTTCTGGGGACCTCCACTACAGATGGCTTCTCAACCACAACTGCCTTCTCCTCCTCGGGTGGAGACTGTCTGGCAGGGGTGGGGGCCCCTGGTGGGGACTGTTTGGCAGGGGTGGGGGCCCCTGGTGGGGACTGTTTGGCAGGGGTGGGGACAACAGCAGGTGGCTTGTCATCAACCGGAGTTGTCTCCTTGCTGGTGCGGGGCAATCGCGATGTGGGGATGCCACTCTCTCGCCGACCTGGAGCAGGGTTGCCATTGTCCTTTGGTACACTCCCCTCTTTCTTAGGGGAGGAGGTTGCCGCCGTGGAGTCTGGTATACTCTCACTACCTGCAATGCACATGCACTCCCGTTCAGAACCAACTTCAATATGTTTTGTGCACACCTCCTTTACATATAAATACCTCCATAAATGCAAAAACATATTGAAGTCAATTATCACATGTCAACAATACATCAAGAATAATAACTTCACAGAATGCTTCTTTGATTATTTACATAAAATACTGTAGACAACAATACAAAATAAGTGACATCAATTCGCAGAAAGTTGTAACACAAACGCTGCACACTATTATTAGCCAATCAGGAAACAGTAATCCATTAGTTGGCAGTCGCAGGCCTAATTTCTTTCGATTTATGGACACAAATGCAAAACAAATTGCTCTGTAAGCCAATCACATACCACAGAACACTTGCAATTTTACTTATTCCGAATAACAAGGTACCTTAAATTCTGAACACGATTTCAGATACTTACAACCCAGTCAATGGCATCCATTCCAAACTGACCTGACTCCCCAAAGAGAATCTCTTCTCATTCTGTCTCCACACACTTACTTACAATCCATCACTTCAGAAACACAACACTTACCACACTTCACATGATTAACCATCATCCAGCATGTTTAGCTTTTTGTCTGGCCCATTCTAAGGAGATTATGTATGTAAATAACAATACATGGTATAATGTTTCTGTGGACTATGGATAACGTTCCAGTAGCAAGTGTTCACATACTCTTCCCGACATAGCTGGGTGGCCGCAGCCCAGACCTCCTGGCCAGGGTCTTCCCATCACCAGGGGAGGGGCGTGTCTTGACCGCGGGCGTGGCAGGGGCAGGAGCAGAGCCTGGGTCATCAACTGCCGTAATCTGATACAAACATACTTGTCAGTAATCTTCTTAGTACCAGCTTCAAATCTTCCAAGATACTTTCAATGTACATTTACTTGGAGAAACATAATATTTCGTCTCCTCTGCATGAATACAATAACATAAATAAATAAACAGACATAAATAACAATCAGTTATCTTTCTGTTTGATTGGCATTCTAGAAGTGGCTGAGTGAAAAAGAAAACATACAGCTTTATGGATGATTATTTCTGGGTTATTGCATTTAGCAAGGTTTGTTTGTTTGTTGCTTAACGCCGCACTCAGCGATATTCTAGCTATATGACGGCGGTCTGTAAATAATCGAGTCTGGACCAGACAATCCAGTGACATCATGAGTATCGATCCCACAACTGGGATACAATGACATGCATCAACCAAGTCAGCGAGTCTGACCACCCGATCCCGTTAGTCGCCTCTTACGACAAGCATGGGTTGCTGAAGACCTATTCTACCCTTGATCTTCACAGGTAATTTAGCAAGGTTGGGATGTAGATTCTTACACTGTTATCTACCAGGAGTCTTGAACACTCCAGCTTGATAACAATGTTTGAATCTACACAGAAACGTCATTAAAAGTAATAAACCAGAAGTTGTTAACCATGAAGTTGTATGTTTTCTTAATCAGCTATCTCTTTAAGGCAGAGATTGTTTGATCGCATGGGTACTACAGGTATAATGAATCTCATATTAGTCTCAAATTGAGGAATTATTTGTGTTTTGTTGATGCACTGGAGTATCATTGTGAGTGAGTTGGGTTTAATGCCGCTTTTAACAGTATTCCAGTTATATCGCGGCGTGTCAGCTTAATGTGGGAGGAAAGCCCGAAGTGATGCAGGTCTCAGATGTTTACCACTTCGGTGAAACCCACAAGCACGGGTATGGTGCTGACTAACCTAGAAACATAATTGGGGCGAACTGGGATTCGAACCCACAATCATAGGTTTCTGGCGTGCCCAAGGGACACAACTCTGCACAGCAAATCGCGGCGCCTTAGACGACTGGGCCTCCCGTGCCCCCCACTGGAGTATCAACATGCTGACAATCAAACATATCAAACAAGACGCTGGTGATATGTTTAGTGGACAGTGGTGTACGTACCTGGGACTGCCGGACAAAAATGCCATGTCCCTCAGGAGACTGGAAGTAAGTCTTGCCCTGCACAGTGCCATTGTTCTTGCCCTTGGCTTCATCAAGCACTACACCAATCCATTTCCCTGGAAAGTCAAATTTCATAACATTATTAATCCCTTCCTGGTCTTAATTCTCATTCCACGAGTTTGTTAAATTCAGCTTCTCATTGATGTGGAAATAACCATATAAACCAGTTACCCACATTGATACACATGCAGTTGGAGCACTGCATGGTTGAAACAGAGGTCAACACCTACACAAAATGGCCTTCCAAATGCTCATGCTTCTTAATGCCTAAATTCACTGAAATACAACAACAATGATAACCATAACACTACTACATGTTACCATGGTTACAATCTTTGAGAAAAAGCTGAATCAGTTGCTGAAAAATAGTTTCAAAAGGATTTCTTACTATGTTAAGCATGTTAAATGGACTGTGAAATTAATCTTCCTAACCAGCACTCACCACTAGAGAACAGCGTTGTTCCAATATATGCCACCGTTCCGACAACACCTTTGCCGACAACTTCAACTCTGGTCCCAATCTTTATCGGCTTTTCAGACATCTTTAATTATTCCAGCCAACCTGACAGTAAAAGATGCATTACTAGTAAATACACATAGAGAATCGTTCACTTACCAAAATGTTGACTGCACACCATGTACACAAAATTGGCAAACCTGCTAACTGGGTTAACAAATTGGCATGACCGTACAAAAAGATATTCAAGTACATTTACCATGTTTACTCATCATGTTCATTGGTTGACCCATGTACATGCTAAAATTAGCATTTGACTTACCGTATTCGACATAATAAGCGCCCAGGGCACTCTCAAAATTAGAAATAGGGGGCTCTTATTAGAATATTATTTTGGTGAAAGACAACAGAGTTGAAAGATCGTAAATTTCGTGGTTTATGCTGACAGCCTGAAATGTTTATATACGACAGATATATTTTTCCAGAATTTAATTTCTATAATTAAGGATGCATATAACACACGTATTATACACATATAAATAAGTTTTGTGTACATTGAACAATCGGAAGGGGTGCTAATTGGGATTGTTCACTAGCCAAATATTAGCAAATATCAACGTGGGTGCTTATTAGAGCGGGGTGCTTATTACGTCAAATACGGTACTTGAACACACACATATTCCAATAATTTGTGAATGGGTCAGCCAAAGGTTGTGAAAATTGTGCACAGGTAAGCTGAAGTAGTGCTACCTACTAGTGACTAGTTTACACTCCTGGATGAATCCTTGTCAATGAGGTTTCATTGTAATTTGTATGTCAATAAACCATTATTTTGATGCAAGGAAGCAATGATTACTGTAAATCATGAAATCAATGCAATCAAGACATTGATTAATGCGAAAAATGTGAGTTTCCTTTGTGATGCATTTTTATCTGGACCTAATAGACATGTTGGACTATATTGTCGTCAGGTTCTATGCAGAAATAATGACATGTAAATAACCATGATAACAAATACACTTATAACAGGGAGCTTTTGAACATTCTGATAAACTCAGTCAAATTACTTACTGCAATCTGTGTGAGCCTTTTAAAAGGCTGTGTCTCTTAAAAACTAGTTGGGCCAACATCATGAAATAAATTTGTATATTGACTTGATAGGATGGATGGAGTATATCGCATGAGAGTACCAGACAAAACATCTTTTCATTTCAGTTTACACAGCATAATCCTTAAAGAATAAAGAGGATGAAAGGCCAAAGGCAAAATAAACATGATAAAATTCAACTCGTGAAAAATGCAAAAGTGAACATTGTTAACAAAGCGGTTTTGTTGATTGAAATATGTATCAGGACAAAGATAGGTAAACATAACAAATATAAGGCATAAAATACAAGCTTGATCAGTGAAAGTTAGATACTGTAGTTATGATTGTTTATCATGGTTTCGCACGACATGTTAAATGCAGTTTTGACAGAACTGTCATCTATTCCTGTTCTCGACCTATTTCGACCTAAGTCCTACAAAAATATTAAAATAGTCTGGGGTGTTACAGTTATCAATTATCAATACTTAACATTGTTTACATGATGATCTTGCATGACTCTCTAACTTGTGCTCATAACACTCGATCATATGCACAGTCACAGTTTTCATAGGCTAGGTGTATATTAGATCAAGACCAATGAACAATTGTTGAATAAAACTGGTCACTGACATGTCTGCAAGTGTCAGTCACAACTACGACACAGGAACTAGATGACTTGTCTGTCAACAATCCAAACGAAGCAAAAACTGTAACTTCTACATAAACAGATACTAGCTAAAAACCGCTGTGTACTAAACAAATGAAAAAGAGCATAAAGCTATACCTCAAGATAGACTAGATCATCAAAACTTCTCGCTGCATTTTTATGCATAGACGACTTCGTCAACCGGAAGTTACTCTGACATCATTGCCCCTTAGTGCATCTGCAAAGCAAAATTTAGTTAAGGCATTCAAACAAAATATTTATAACTAATTATACCATACGCTCAGGTGTATACAGATGAATGAAATGTATCCGTTGGATATATCAGATATACTTGCCAGTACTATGCATTTTATGACATTTGAGTTTGGTGTTGGTGGCATAATTGTATCCAAGATGGCTGCTCAACAAGGTTCGTGGCAAATATTTTCGTCTGCTTTTTCCGGTTTCATGATCAAGACAAATGATTCATTACGTCCATCCACCAGAATAACATTCCAGCATCTAAGGCAACCCAAAAAGTCTCAGTTTTTGACTACAGTCTCAGTGTCACTGTCGTTATCGACAGTCATAGACAAAGTAGGGTGTAACTTCATCACACTTACCAACTGCTGTCATTCGCTTTACGGGTGGCTACTCTTTTGCTTTTGTTATCCTTAGGATTGCGGTACATCTTTTCAGAGACCATATACTGATATTGTCTGATGTTCTCTGGTCTATGTATCTGGTGAAATTTTTACGCAAGTTCATTTGATCTGATAACTCATTTATTATTCAAAAGTTGTTGCCAGTAAAAATATGTGACCCTATTTAGATATTAACAAACCTTCCAGCTAATGATTGTTATTTCCTCCAATAATGATATGATGGCAACATTGTGGTTTACCTGGTATAGCCTATATATATTTCCTCAGACTGATCAAGATGATATGCAGAATGCGTGTGAATGCAAGCCCTTGTTTCAAGTTGTTTGACAATGTTTGATTTGTTAACAGACACAATAGTCATCAAAGAATTGCCTTGAACTGACAGTGATCTCAGCAGTCAGTAATTTAGTCTCTGTAATAGTAAAATATTTGTTCATAGCTGTAGACATAGTATTTGTTAAGTTTGTTTTCACTTATTATTCACCCTTATACCACTGTAAACTAGATTGAAGTGAACTAGAATAAAGACCTGTTTGTGTGTAAAAGTGTTACCATATTAAACTTCTACATTATCATTGCATTATTTGCAGTCAGAGTGAGTGAGAAATTATTGCTTAACTGTGCATAAGCAATCTTGTAGCTATTTTCATGTCAAATTGTGGAATCTGAAGCCGGTAAGAAAACTCAGCGGTTTGAGTTTACCCTGTATGGTACAATACAACAAAATACAATAATACATGTTCAAACACATATGACTGACAGATATGTAAAGAAGCACAGAATGTTTAAGAGAAGAAAGGAGCTAACACCATGTGGTAAGAAGACAAACTAGTGGATGAATCCTGGTTGTTTTTCAGACGATGAAGGTGATCAGGCTGATAGCAAGCGACGGAGACATGAAGTGCTCAAGATGTATTATGGGATTGACGAGGAGAAACCAGGTACAACAACTGTGGATCCATGCGACATTGATGGAGCCCACTTCAAGCCTGACACATACTTGTCAACGTTGATCAAGAAGAGCTCTCTGACAGAGTTGATGGACAGAGAGAATGAGATGGTGCGCCAGATCCGTGCCCTGGACAGCGACATGCAGACTCTGGTGTATGAAAACTACAACAAGTTCATCAGTGCTACAGACACCATTCGCAAAGTAAGAACTATCTTAGTAGATGTAATGTTACGGTCATCTGAAATATGAGAAAAGAAATTGAATTTCCCAATATGATATCATATAATGTGTGTCTTGTGTATAAGGCTAAAAAGAATAGTCTTGCTTCTCAGGCACTGCCGCATCATCACAAAGTCTGCAGCATGGTTTGTTTATATTTCCATTATGAAAAAAAAGCCTTAAAGTTAAATATTCCCTGTCTCGAACACATGGCCCCAGCATTGAAATGCTACAATAGTTTAAAAAAACTCGATCCAATATAGCGTGCAGTTACTTCCCTTTTCATGCGCACTGCTTTATTGCGCATCTTGTGTTATCGTCATGGCGACAACAGGAGTTGGTGTGCTTGTTTTGACGTTTGCAAATTTCTTCAATGGAAAAATGAAATTTACGATAAGACATCACTAGACATGATGATTTACAAATTCAATGTTATTTGTGTACTGTATGCCAGACAATGTTTCATAAGCAGAGATTAAGATTAATTGTGTTTTTGTCTCGTGAAAAAAAGCCAGAATAGCAATTAGCTGTTTACACATTTACTCCCTGATCTATGGGTGATTTAGTTTAAAAAATACTTAATGTCAGGGCCAATATCATGACTGAAAAGAAATTTCATTGGAATTGATAGGGAGACCAAAGACTTTGTATCTCTAACGACTAATGTTGGTTTCAAGGCGAGTTCATGGTGAGTTTATGTGATTTGCTGATGAGATCATACACGATTTTGCCGAAATTAATGTAAACAAAATTGAATGAAATCTGGAAGAAAAGTAATGTAATTGATTACAAATGTATGTCTAGATACACAATGAACACTTTATTAGCAAGATAGTGTAGTAATAGGACTAACTTGCATACCTCAGTGCATTTTGACCTTTAATCTGGAAATATTATATATAGGTGTAGTTCCATTTATGGGAGAGGTATATTAAATGAGCTGGTGATACAAGGCCTATGTTAAAATGGTATATTTTGTTCACGGGACAATATGTAAAGACCCCTACTTTATATATCTCACAGTGATATGGTGGCAGTATTAATTCAAGCATTGTGTACCATGTAAACACCACTCATTGAGTTGAGCATCACACCTAGTCTCTGCAGCTCAGTATTCCTTGTGAATTGTGATTCTAGATGAAAAACGACTTCAAGAAGATGGAGGATGAGATGGATCACCTAGCAACCAACATGTCTGCCATCACAGAGTTCAGTGCCAACATCAGCAACACTCTGCAAGACCGGCGCCAACAGATCACCAAGCTGGCCGGAGTTCACTCTCTGCTCAAGAAGGTAAGGTGTTGTACTGCTTGGTAGATGTAGACCTTACTTATCAGTTGCCATTCTTCCATTGCCTTTCAGTCAACAAATGGGCTCCACCCTAGCTGACCGAGGTAGTATTGTTTCCTACTCAAGGGTGCCCTGTGAAGATCTGGGTTAGAATTGGTCTTCAGCAACCCATGCATGCCATAAAAGGCAACTATGCTTATCAAAAGAGGCGACTTATGAGATCGGGTGGTCAGACTGTCTGACTTGGTTGATGCATGTCGAGGTATCCTAATTGCTTAGATCGTTGCTCATGATAACAATCACTTGACTGTCTGGTCCAGACCCGATTATTTACATACAGCCGTCATATAGCAGGAATATTTCTGAGTGCGGCGTTATACAACAAACAAATCCTACTCAAAAGAGTGTTATTTTGGGCCTATGTCTTGTGGAGTAACCGGTGTGACTCTGCCTATGCACTGCAGTATATGGATGTACAAACAATTTACAATTGGTTATGGAAATAAAAAAATTGGCATTTTCTTGGATTACATTGAAATATGTTGAAGGTGGAAGAAACTTGTTTGTTTAATAATTGACCGCCTCTGTGTTCTATTGGTAGAGCGGAAGGAATGGGATTCGATCCCCAGCCACGTCATACCAAAAGACGTTAATAGGTGGTACTTGTTGTTACCCTCTCTGACGCTCGGGATTAAGGGGCTAAAACAAGGACTACTCAGCTCAGAGTCAGTATACTGTGTTTGAGCGGGGTATTCATGTTAAACTGTGGCATGGTATCTCAGCAGCCCCCCCTCACACACACACACACACACACACACACACACACACACACACACACACACACACACACACACACACACATTATATAAGTGCAATAATCTTGGACGCGACATTAAACCCCCTTTTCACCTCAACCACCTTGTTTAGTAATTCAGCTGTGGTGTAAGTTTTAATCAGTGTCACCGCAGCACAGTGCAGACACACCAACTGTTTTTGTCCACTAGTCCTATTAATGATAACATATAGTAAAACCCTTGAAAAGGGCAAGTTTCTGCTAGTCCTTAGGATACCTTAACTATTGGGCAGTTTGGGAAGGACTACAGGACTATTGCCAGTTTTGAATGCTGCAGACAGAATAAACTGCAGTATTGTTGACTGTTAACACCAATCAAGTGTAGGAATCTATTTGACAGACTTGAATGATTCTAAAGTTCTGGTATGGTTCAGATCATTTTCTCAACAATTGTCACCTTGGTTTCAGCTTCAGTTCCTGTTTGAACTGCCAGCTCGTCTGAAAAAGTGCATCGAGCTGAAGGCTTACAGTCAGGCTGTCAGGTAAGAAGTGCATCGAGCTGAAGGCTTACAGTCAGGCTGTCAGGTAAGAAGTGCATCGAGCTGAAGGCTTACAGTCAGGCTGTCAGGTAAGGAGTGCATCGAGCTGAAGGCTTACAGTCAGGCTGTCAGGTAAGAAGTGCATCGAGCTGAAGGCTTACAGTCAGGCTGTCAGGTAAGAAGTGCATCGAGCTGAAGGCTTACAGTCAGGCTGTCAGGTAAGGAGTGTATCGAGCTGAAGGCTTACTGTCAGGCTGTCAGGTAAGGAGTGCATCGAGCTGAAGGCTTACAGTCAGGCTGTCAGGTAAGAAGTGCATCGAGCTGAAGACTTACAGTCAGGCTGTCAGGTAAGAAGTGCATCGAGCTGAAGGCTTACAGTCAGGCTGTCAGGTAAGAAGTGCATCGAGCTGAAGGCTTACAGTCAGGCTGTCAGGTAAGGAGTGCATCGAGCTGAAGGCTTACAGTCAGGCTGTCAGGTAAGAAGTGCATCGAACTGAAGGCTTACTGTCAGGCTGTCAGGTAAGGAGTGCATCGAGCTGAAGGCTTACAGTCAGGCTGTCAGGTAAGGAGTGCATCGAGCTGAAGGCTTACAGTCAGGCTGTCAGGTAAGGAGTGCATCGAGCTGAAGGCTTACAGTCAGGCTGTCAGGTAAGAAGTGCATCGAGCTGAAGGCTTACAGTCAGGCTGTCAGGTAAGAAGTGCATCGAGCTGAAGGCTTACAGTCAGGCTGTCAGGTAAGAAGTGCATCGAGCTGAAGGCTTACAGTCAGGCTGTCAGGT